ATGATATGAAACTTTGCATTGACCATCACACCGAAGCCGACGCCAACTTCTCGCTTGGTGAGCCACCTTAACCGATTTCACTGTAAATATTACAGTTGTAGCTTCTCCGAAGCAAAAAGGAAACGCCATAGATTGTGTTATAAGTATAGCCGAAATAATGAGATATGGAGGTCCAAGAGTGGGAAAATATCAACAAGATATAAGAGCCTTTTCGAGTTCTCGTTGTAAATGTAATCACGATATTTCGATGCTGTCGATTTCAACTTACCCATTTATTTCTTGGTCCATCCTCAGCGGCAAGTTCATTCGCGTCCCTGTGCAGTGCTCCTAGTTTTTCCCTAAACACTACGCCGAACATTCCGTAAAGTAACCGAAGAATTCAAAAAACGCGTGTCTGTGAAATACACTTGAAGGGAACAGTCACCGAATAGCAGCAACCAGGTATGCAATAAGCGCTGCTTACGATGAACGTAAAACGCCACTGTTTGATAAAATTCGTTGATTTGTTTTATTGCTCGCTCTGTTCCAGCAATCAAGAAACGTGTGACGATGACATGTAGGGAATTAAAAGTGAGGTTCCAACAATTTGTGTCTCACACTGTGGACCATTTTGCACTGTGGGCAAAATGGAGCACAATGTAAAACTGTAAGCCATCGCCTGGCACTCTCGGCTAACAAAAGTCTCGCGAAAAGCTACATTTTAACAAAGCGTTCCGAAGCATCACGTTTTCTCGGTTTACTGTAACTTCTTCGTTGGCACAATGTTGACGCCACACTGGCCGCAACGTAGTTCGTTTGCCCAAATCAAGTAATAAGCTGTGTTGCTGAATGTCTTTTTTTTTCATAGTTTCTTCTACCCAGTCTTTCAAACATCTCCAATGCCTCTCGGCCAACACTATTATTCTTAACGCCATGTTGCAGATGGCATTTATTACACACAGTTTAACGTCCTCTCCAGCACCTAATGGTGACTTTTCCACGCTCGCCTGTTTTTCATATAGACAACACGGAATGCCGCTTTGCGTCTCCGGTATAATTTCTCGAAAGGAAAGTTTCGAGAAACTGAATTTCCATTAAGTAGCGTATGATGTAGCGAAAACCAATCCCGCTGCCACAGTGCTTTAGTGGGAGGGGGGTTTAGATCCGGTGCGCTGTTGCTTCAGACTGAAGTGCTTCACTGGGTCTTCTACACGCTTTTCCCCATCGGCCTCTGAGGGATCATCATCATCATCATCATCATCATCAGCCTGTCTACGTCCACTGCAGGACAAAGGCCTCTCCCATGTTCCGCCAGTTAACCCGGTCCTGTGCTTGCTGTTGCCAATTTATACCCGCAAACTTCTTAATCTCATCTGCCCACCTAACCTTCTGTCTCCCCCTACCCCGCTTCCCTTCTCTGGGAATCCAGTTGGTGACCCTTAATGACCAGCGGTTATCCTGTCTACGTGCTACATGCCCGGCCCATGTCCATTTCCTCTTCTTTATTGCAGCTATGATATCCTTAACTCCCGTTTGTCCCCTAATCCACTCTGCTCTCTTCTTGTCTCTTAAGGTTACACCTACCATTTTTCTTTCCATTGCTCGCTGCGTCGTCCTCAATTTAAGTTGAACCCTCTTTGTGAGTCTCCAGGTTTCTGCTCCGTAGCTAAGTACCGGCAAGATACAGCTGTTATATACCTTCTTCTTGAGGGACAGTGGCAATCTACTTGTCATAATTTGAGAGTGCCTGCCGAATGTGCTCCACCCCATTCTTATTCTTCTAGTTACTTCAATCTCGTCGTTAGGTTCTGCGGTTATTACCTGCCCTAAGTAGACATAGTCTTTTACAACTTCAAGTGCACTATTACCTATCGCAAAGCGCTGCTCCTTTCCGAGGTTGTTGTACATTACTTTCGTTTTCTGCAGATTAATTTTAAGACCCACCTTTCTGCTCTCCTTGTCTAACTCCGTAATCATGAGTTGCAATTCGTCCCCTGAGTTACTCAGCAATGCAATGTCATCGGCGAAGCGCAGGTTACTGAGGTACTCTCCATTAACTCTTATCCCTAACTGTTCCCATTCTAGGCTTCTGAAAACGTCCTGTAAGCACACAGTGAATAGCATTGGGGAGATTGTGTCCCCCTGCCTTACACCCTTCTTTATTGGTATTCTGTTGCTTTCTTTATGAAGCACTATGGTAGCAGTTGATCCCCTGTAGATTTCTTCCAGAAGGTGTATATATATTTCATCTACGCCCTGATTCCGCAGTGTCTGCATGACGGTTGATATTTCTACTGAATCAAACGCCTTCTCGTAATCTGTGAAGGCTATGTATAGTGGTTGGTTATAATCTGAGTATTTCTCTATTACCTGATTGATAGTATGAATCTGGTCAATTGTTGAGTAGCCTGTTCTAAATCCTGCTTGTTCCTTTGGTTGATTGAATTCTAATGTTTTCTTTACTCTGCTAGCAATTACCTTTGTAAATAGCTTGTATACTACAGAGAGCAAGCTGATCGGCCTGTAATTCTTCAAGTCCTTGTCATCTCCTTTCTTATGTATTAAGATGATGTTAGCGTTCTTCCAAGGCTCTGGTACTTTTCCCGTCAGGAGACACCTCGTAAATAGAGCGGCTAGTTTTTCTAACACAATCTGTCCTCCATCTTTCAGCAGATCTGATGTTACCCGATCCTCACCAGCAGCTTTGCCTCTGTGCATGCTCTCCAAAGCTTTTCTGACTTCTTCTATCATTACCGGTGGGGTGTCGTCTGGGTTACTGCTAGTTCTTATAGTATTAAGGTAGTGGTTGTCTCGGCTACTGTACAGATCTCTGTAAAACTCCTCCGCTATTTTAACTATCCTATCCATATTGGTAGTTATCTTGCCTTCTTTGTCCCTTAGTGCATACATCCGCCTTTTGCCTATCCCAAGTTTCCTCTTCACTGCTTTGACGCTTCCTCCGTTTTTCAGAGCGTTCTCAATTCTCTCCATGTTATACCTTCTTACATCGCATACTTTACGTCTATTAATCAACTTCGAAAGCTCTGCCAGTTCTATTTTGTCTGTTGTACTTGACACTTTCATGATTTGACGCTTCTTAATTAGGTTCTTCGTTTCGTGGGAAAGCTTGCCGGTGTCCTGTCTAGCTACCCTGCCTCCAACTTCCACTGCACACTCCGTGATGATACTCGTCAGATTATCATTCATTGTATCTACGCTAAGGTTGGTTTCCTCGCTAAGAGCAGAGTACCTGTTCTGCAGTGACACTCTAAATTCCTGTACTTTCCCTCTCAGTGCTAGCTCATTGATTGGCTTCTTGCGTATCAGTTTCTGTCGTTCCTTCTTCAAGTCTAAGCGGATTCGAGCCCGTACCATTCTATGGTCACTGCATCTTACCTTGCCAACCACTTCCACATCCTGCACGACTCCTGGGTGTGCAGTCATTATAAAGTCTATTTCGTTCTTATTTACGCCATTAGGGCTCCTCCATGTCCACTTGCGGTTTTCTCGTTTTCGGTAGAAGGTATTCAAAATACGCAGATTATTGCGTTCTGCGAATTCTACTAGTAGCTCTCCTCTGGCGTTTCTAGTGCCGATGCCATAATCTCCTACTGCCTGGTCTCCAGCCTGCTTCTTCCCTACCTTTGCATTAAAGTCGCCCATTACTATAGTATACTGTGTTTTCACTTTACTCATTGCCGATTCCACGTCTTCATAGAAGCTTTCAACTGAAGCGTCATCATGGCTGGATGTAGGCGCGTAAGCCTGTACTACCTTCATTTTGTATCTTTTATTCAGTTTTATTACAATGCCTACCACCCTTTCATTAATGCTATAGTAATCCTCTATGTTGCCAGCTATGTTTCTGTGAATTAGGAACCCTACTCCCAGTTCTCTTCTGTCTGCCAAGCCCCGATAGCAAATGACGTGCCCATTCTGTAGCACAGTATAGGCCTCATCTGTCCTCCTAACCTCACTCAGCCCTATTATATCCCATTTAATGCCTTCTAGCTCCTCGAATAATACAGCTAGACTTCCCTCACTAGATAACGTTCTAACGTTAAACGTTGCTAAGTTCAAGTTCCAATGGTGGCCTGTCCGTATCCAGAGATTCCTAGCACCCTCTGCTGCTTTGCAGATCTGACCGCCGCCGTGGTCAGTTGCTCCGCAGCTGGTGGGGACTGAGGGCCGTGAGTTAATTGACGAATGCCAACGGGAGGGGGTGGCCAGATACTGCACCAGGGTGGCCAATCCTTCTCCGGTGAGATCATCGGTGCATACCGGCTTTAAGCCGGTACGATCAGACAGTAGTGGGAGTAGTGGGATCGAGACAACTTAATTCGATTTAAAATCTCGACTTCAACGAGGGTTTAGACCAGTGGAAACCATTGACGCACTCTTATTGTGCCCAGTCTTTGTTCTTGCTCATTGGAGCGAGCTTTTGTATGTCTTCCAAAACTTTCATTGTATCGAGCTTTTGTATGTCTTCCAAAACTTTCATTGTATCGATATGCGCGAATTAAACTTGAGCTGGTGACGCGCATATTCCACTACATATAACGTTAACTAAATCTCTCTCAAGCATAACTCGAGGGGAAATGAGGGCATAAAATATTACTATGTTGGACACTTACTGACACTGCACAGTTGTTTTCAGAGGCACGACTGCTGTTCAAATGAGCCTGACTTTGTTATTAAGTGAAGCGTTTATAGGATGTCGCTTCTAGCGTCCTGCGTACGGTATTCTGATGGTGTCGGGGTGCGGTTTTATTTTATTTTTGTTTACCTGAATACCGCGCTTCCTAGAGACCTCTGTTTAAGCCCTTGCATCTGCAGCAGCTTACCTTCGAAATTCGATGCTTGGGCCACACATGCCCCAGGCCGGGGGTATAGCCATAGCTAACTTGAACCGAAGTGTGAGACGAAGCGCGTTCTCATAAAGCAGAGAGCGCACAGAGTGCTGTGTGAACACAGTGATGTCATTCAATTCTTAAAAAACAAAGATTGTTTTGAGGAACAATATTTATTATTGGGTGACCACATGCGTATCTTTCTGGCAAGCTTCGATTGCCGCAGCAATTTTCGCCACTGGAAGAGCATATTTATTAAGTATTTTCACTCGTTAATTGTGCATACTTTTCTAAACCCCCTCCTCCAAGGCGTTGGTCACGCCTTTTCTGTATTCCGAGAGTGACGTCTTCTGTACACAAGCCACCGAGCCCTCTCTTGATGCTCAAGGGAACCTGTAGGATGTAAAATCATAAACACTTTTTTTCGCAATGCTTAATAAACGTAGTGAACATTAAGCATTGTAACTATATAACGTTTCAAACTGTTCGTAAATGCTACCTATATGGCTTACTGAGCTTCACCACACTAAGTGAAAGACGCATGAAGTCGATGGTCTACCCAACCGGTCCCTCCAAGACTTTGTGCAGCAATTCTCTGTGGTTTTTGTTGTTGGTTGCCTTCATGAAGGCACACACAACTCTAGTTGGAGAGACCGACAACGTGGCATGCAAGGTCTGCGGCACTAAAGAAGGCATCGATCATTTGAAGTGACGCTGTCCTCAATGTGCCTCTCAGAGACGAGCACTTTCTGATGCAATGCTACTATTGGACGAACAATCCCTCTATATGTAGATGCCAATAGAATAACGTCTTTTATCTTTAGATGGCGCACAAGCCATGACCAAAGTCATTTAGTGCGTTTTGAAGACTACGGAACCATGTGAGCGCCTTTGACTTCGTGTAGAGCACATGTCCTTGTCTCTTTCCCTCCTCTCTTCTTTTTCTTTTTCTTCCTTGTGCTCCCCTTTCCCATTCTCCGAGTGTAGGGTAGCCAATCAGACATGCGCCTGGTTAACCTCGTTACCTTCTCTCTTGTTTTTCTTCCTTCCTTCTTGCTTTCCTTCCTTCCTTTTTGTCTTCTTTGTACAGCAATGAAATACAGCAATTTTTTCTGCAGCATGTTTCAAGACTTGAAAGAAAACTAACGCAACACTGAAGGTGAACTGGATCGCAGGCTCATATGGCTGGCAGTGGCACACACGGCTTTCCTAAAGACGATATTAAAGCATTTATAAATACTGGTTAACATTTTCGAGCACTTTGCCCTCTACTACGGGAGAGCTTAAGGCCGTCCCGTGAGTAAAAACACGCGGAAAGATGATTATGGACGGTATTAAAGACTCAACGCAGAAATTATCGTCTCTCTGTCAACCAAAACGTTTCAGCGACTAGGCCAAAGTCCAACCTTTTCCTCAACGCACTTCCATCTTAACCTCATGTATGCGTTCATACTTTTGTACATTGTTGATTGAAAAGCCAATATTACGCATATCTGAGGTGCAATGCCAACATATATTTATTTTGTGGTGTGTTTCTTTATATTAGAAAATGCATAGATAAGTAATTCTAAATACCATAGTGTTTATTACGCTGCGCTCACAATCCTACACTCTGCACGAAAATGCGGGTGTTTCCGACGCTTTTTAAAGACTAGAGTCAGGGTATTTGCTACGCTTAGGTAGCAGAGTTGGGTGTATTTTCAACGCCGCTAGCAACTCTGTACTACGGAGAAACTGATGCACAGGCCACGACTGGAAAACATGACCGCACCGCCAAAAGCGGTCGCCGTCTAGCTGGAATCTATGAAGTGACCATAGTGCGCTGTGTTACTCGTTAGCTATAAACTAGTGATGTTATTATTGCGATAGCAATTATATAGACACTCTCGGCTGTATTTCGCCACATGCGTCGGCGTTAGCCACTGAGCTACTGAGAGGTACCTCTTTCAACGGTGAAACAGCAAGCTATTTATATCTACCACTTACGGGCATCTCGAAGGGAGCTATTGTGTTTTCAGCATTATCAGTGAGATGGCGCATTGAGCGCGCGGCGGCTCTCATCTCTGACGCGTACTTTGGCCCGCGGGGAAGATGGTAGTGGGCGATCTCTCGCGCACCCTTATCTACCGGCGGGGAGGATCATACGTCTTGGCTGGCCTTAGGCTTGCACTGGAAAGGTTCTGTTGTAGTTAAGGGGCGTACAAAGGTCATTGCAATCGTTGCACAGCGTTTGTTTTCGAAAAAGGTGCACTTTTCAGACACAGCGATATAACAACTGAGATGCTTATTTGCGTTCATCTTTGCCTGTGAGTACGTTTCGTGCGTCATTTGTGCGTGAGAAACGCGGGGCACGTTTCGACCAGCTTGCCATTCTGCGCGTGACCTTCCAATTTATTGCTGTCGCGTTCATTGCTTCACCGTTGCGGCAAAGCTATGACTTTTTCCTATAAATTCATGTCCTTAAGCATCGAACGCAAAGTACCTGCTTGGGTTCAGCCCCATTAAAAAAATATACTAATATAATCGATGCTGTGGGCTCAGAGAGGCGCTCCCTGAGTCTAGGGGGGGCATATATTTTGTTTGCTAGTTGTTGCTTATACTCCATAGCAAGCGGGAGATGACGTGATAGCAGTGGCAGTACAGTTCACTGTAGTGGCGGTGCATATTATTCGTCACTACGCTACGCCTTTGCGTTACCGGAGACACTAAAAATGTCTCTGTACTCCCGTGGCACAGTTCCAAAAGCAGCTGTTTGTTCTTTCTTCGCCACTCATTGACACGCTGGCCGTTGTCCCGAGGTCCTTGACACACTAACGATCGGCGACAGGCGTAATCATGACTCCTGCGAAAAGACAGTGCAGCTTCGCAGCGTAAGTGTGGTTGCTATGCAGGCAAGATGGCGGACCTACGCGCAACTATGATCTCGTAGGAAGCATACAAGGGGACTCCAGCTAAGACTATAAAGTGCTGCTGCGTAACCGTGGCTCTGCGTTCTACAGGTGCTTCAGTTTTCCAAGATTGCTGCCAGATGGCGCTCACGTATCACGCAGCTTCTCCAGGATCTCATTTTCTGATTTTCAAGTTCAGAAAATCCAATTAACGTTCTATTCTCTCTTTTTCTACACAAGACTCCTCTTTTGATGACATTTGCAATGAAACACGCTGATACACGGACAATCCTTTACAGGAAAATGTTTTATGCCGAGGATCTCCACGGCTGCGCTGACGTATTTCCGTCACGGTTATGACGTTGTAAAATAAATAAAACAGATTGCGAAAAAAAACGAAAAGTTAAGGTTCTCTCATTTGACATCGAACCAGCAACCTCGCGATTCACAGCGCGTGGCGCTAACCACTATGCCAAGAAGCGTACGTTGCTGACATGCTAAACGCAAGCCATGTATATACACCATACACCACTTGGTGGTCGTCTGAGCTCCGAAACCGCTTTCCAGTCTCCAGCACGCGCACTTAGTAATTCAGCAGAGAACGAAGGTCACTTCGCTCGCTGCCGGGGCCGTGTTCACGAAAGGAGCGTGCTGCTGACAGTTGTTCGTGCTTGTGCTGTGTATACTTGTGCGCTCGTTTTGTGCGTCTTTCTGTCTAAGCAGCGTGCTTTAAGTGTTGACCTGAGACAGTTGCTTGTCCGCGCTCTTACTGTGTATGCTCATTTCGTGCGTGCTTTCTGCTTGAGGTGTGTACTGCAAGTTTCGACCTGGTTGCCACTCTTCACGTGACTTTTCAATTTGTTGCTGTTTCTGAAACATTGCACACTGAACACTCAACTATCTCTGCGAAGACACGTTTCACTATTTTGGTATATCGGTTCCTAGATAAGATCCGCGACGTTTTTTTTTCTTTCTATCCCACCTCTCTCTACACTCACCGCAGCCCTGCAAGGACATAAGTGTGAATAAGGACGTGTCAACAACAACCCACACGTTGGCCTTTATTTGCCCTGGTGTATTACTTAGATTTTTTGTTCCCTTGTTTTGTTGCGCATGCCCAAAGTGAATCTTAAAGTTCATGTAGCAAGGAACGCGTGGTTCATAAACGCTCCACCAGGTGCCGCAACAATCCCAGCTGCTCACAAGGAGATCATCTGCTGTTTGGGTGAACTCGTTCAATTTTCGCATTAACTATTATGACACTTGATTGGCCCTTCTCCTATAATTATCCACGGATCCGGGACGCTCGAAGAATAGGAGACTTCAACGCCCACCACCCAATCTGGGGAAGTTCAAAAGTCAATACCACGGGCCGGAGGCTGGCTTCATTTGTATCGACTCATGAACTGTCTCTAATTAATGATGGGAGCCCTACATTTCTGCGAGGATCAACGTACAGCAGCTGTTTGGACTTGACGTTCGTGTCACGTCGCTTCGCCACAAGCGTTAAGTGGTTTTTAGACATCGAGACACATGGTAGCGATCACATCCCCAGTTATCTCACCATCGAAGGCTTTGCTAGCGACCACCCGCCGAAAACCGTACGGAAGATCGATCTTTCAGCATTCAAAACCAACATTGAACACGCTTGTGAAAAAGGCTTAACCTCTGACATTGAGCAAGCGATCAAACAAGCAGCGCAGAGTGCGATGCGCACGCTGGCATATTCTTCAAGGCCCTCAGAAACGGACATGGAGTTAGAGCGACTCCGTGCGACTCGTCGGCGTGCGGAGCGTAGATATCGACGCACAAAATCCATTCAAGATCTACGGATGGCCAGGCGCATGCAAAAGAAGATCCAGCGTCGTATAGACAAACTGGAGTTTCAACGGTGGGCGAAATTTTGCGCGAGTCTAGACCCTCGCAAACCGCTTTCTCAAATATGGCGAACCGTGCGAGGCCTACGCACATTTCCCCAACAACGTTTTCCGTTTAAAGCCTTGGCCCTTTTCCAAAATAGAAGGGATATCGAGGTAGCGGAAGATTTTTGTAGGAAGATTGCGGGCCCACCAAATTGCACAGAAGCCCTTACTGCTCATTACACGCCACATTCCCTTGACCCGCACCTGGACCTGCCTTTTTCAATGGAAGAACTGAATGTGGCTCTTGCTTCATGCAATCGATTGTCATCGCCTGGGCCGGATGGCATATCATACCGCCTATTATGCAATCTCGGTGATCGAGCACGAAGTGCTTTGCTGGAAGTATTCAATGAGTCTTGGAGAGATGGAACGGTCCCCAGAGAGTGGAAAACAAGCCGGTTGGTTGCACTTCTCAAACCTGGAAAATCGCCTCTAGAGCTGACATCATACCGCCCAATAGCGCTGGCTAGTTGCGTAGGGAAGCTGATGGAGCGAATGATCCTTGCCAGACTCGAGTGGTTCCTAGAACGCCATAGAATATATCCAGACGCCATGGCCGGTTTTCGTCGTCTTCGGAGCTCCATTGACAATGTCATTGACCTGGTGACCTACGTACAACACCAGAAAATGAGCAGACGGTTATCTGTCGCACTATTTTTAGATGTCAAAGGAGCATATGACAATGTTTCTCACGAAGCCATACTTGACGCCCTCGAGTCAGTTGGTTTGGGTGGGCGAGTGTACCGCTGGATCCAATGCTACCTACATATGAGATCATTGTTTATGCAAACTGATGATGGGCCGACTTCTGAACATTATACACACCGTGGTGTTCCTCAAGGTGGTGTATTGAGCCCCACACTGTTCAACCTGGTTCTGATCGGTCTCGTTGAACGCATACCAGATTCCGTGCAGATATCTCTCTATGCAGATGATATTTGTGCTTGGACATCAGGTGTAACACGTCCTCAGGTACGTGCGAGACTCCAGAAAGCAGCGAATTCAATATCGGCGTACCTTAGAGAACAAGGCCTCGAGATTTCTCCTGAGAAATCGGCGCTGGTCGCGTTCACGCGGAAGGCAATGACGTCATATCCCATCGCCATCAATGGACACAGTGTCTGCTACGCCAGGACCCACAGGTTTTTGGGGGTCACGATCGATCGAAATCTCTGCTGGAGTCCCCATGTGGCCACTCTAAAGAAGCGCCTAACGGCCATCGCACAACTTTTCAAGTTCCTCGGAGGCAAAACGTGGGGCACATCAGTGCACGCGATGTTGCATTTGTACAAAACGCTGTTTCTGGGGTACCTGCGGTATAGCTTGCCGGTTCTGACGAACGCTTGCAAAAGCAGTATACGCATAATAGAAAACGCCCAGGGCCAGGCACTCAGAGTTTGTCTTGGATTACCACGCTGTACATCAACAGCGGAAACCATCGCAATCGCCAAAGATCATCCGGCCACAGTGCACATTACTTTGGAGGTGCTTAGAGCTCATATTAGACACCTTGCTCGCGCCCCTGCCCACCACCTAGCTTCGCTTCCAGAAGATCGACCGAGTGCCTCCTTCTGTAAGAGAGTATTGACTTTCCGTGAGTGCCTTCCAACAGTCTACACACCTCCGGAACGGATACTAACACCTCCTTGGTGCTTGGACCGACCAAAACTGCGCTTGACAGTGCCGGGGATTCGCAAGAAGGCGGAGCTCTCGGCGCCAGCTTTAAAGCAGATGATTCTACTCATGCTACACGAAGAATACAAAGATCATGTCAAACTTTACACGGATGGCTCGACAACTGTTGGAGGATCTGCAGGAGCTGTGATCTTCCCAGCAAGAGCCGAAACCATCCAGTTCAGAACGTCACACAAGACGACATCGACAGCCGTGGAGCTCGCGGCACTCCGCAGCGCACTCCGCAGGATTGACCAAGAGACACCACAAAAATGGAGCATTTTTACTGATTCGAAACCAGCTCTCCAATGTCTACACAATACTCTACGTCGTGGACCTCAAGATCAATTGGCGCTCGAAATACGACAACTGTACCATCACCTAATAGACGAAGGACATGAGATATCTTTTCAGTGGTTACCAGGCCATTGCGGCATCATCGGTAACGAGCATGCCGACAATGCAGCTAAGAATGCTCACGAAAATGGAGTGATGGAACCCATTCCACTATCAAGAAGCGACGCAGCAGCAAAGATTAATACGCTTGCGCAGGATGTCGCAAGGTCTATGCGGAATACGCCCGGTTTTCTCCACACCCGTCTTCACCGCCTGGACCCATGCCTACGACTTACTATTCCATCTGGCCTACCCCGATCCGAGACGACCCTTCTCTGCCGTATGTGGCTTGGGGTGTCTTTCACGAACGCTTTTGCCTGCCGCATCGGAATGAGAGACAGCGCTACATGCGACCATTGCGACAATGACGAAACAATTGAACATATTTTATGTCAGTGCCCCCAGTACAGCTCTCAGCGACAGTCCCTCTCAGCAGTGTTTGCTCGCCTCGACGACCAGCCATTTTCTGAGCAGTCAATCTTGGAATGTCGGAAAGATCGAGCTTCACGCCAGAAAGCAACGAAGGCGCTGATGAAGTTTCTGCGAGCGACCCGCCTCGTAGAACGATTGTGACACTACTGTGTGCGAGTGTGTGTATGTGTGTTTGTGCTTCTCTTCCTCCCTTTCCCCTTACCCTTTCCCCAGTGCAGGGTAGCAAACCGGATATGTTTTCTGGTTAACCTCCCTGCCTTTCCGCATTAAAATTTTCTCTCTCTCTCTCTGATTGGCCCTTCAGTAAACTTATGATTAGAAATCAGATTTGCACAATACAACTGTCACCTTTGGAATAATCATCCATTTCATCCCCGTCCTAATTCTTATAAGACTTTTTTTATGAATATAAAAAATACTTCAATGGTGTACTGGACCGGAAGTGCGTAGAAAAGAAACAAAGTTGTCATTCGGGACAGCGTCGTCATTGGGGGCGTTTTAGAACTGAATCGTAGATGCGCAGTATGCTGCGTCTGTTTCGGCTGCGTCAGTTAAATAAGCCAAATTTCATTGCTCGGCGGTAATAATCAGTGGCCACCTTTCCGAAATTTCAAAGTGGATATGGGCTATTCGTTGCGAGCACTCGAATTCACCCCTTCGACTCAACCGGCTATTCCCACTGGTTAAAGAGGTCGTTGTTTTAGTTTCTATTTTTACTGCCGTCATTAATGTTCGCACACATTTCAAAATGCCTTCTGCCAAGGTAAAAAGTACGCTGCAGGTAACACGCAGATGCCCCCTTTCAGTTATTGTTAAATAATATTGGACACATTTCTTGAAACACACTATATATTGTAGACAGCTGCCCACGTAGCCACGTTATCAAAAGACAATATTACATACCTTAGTCTTGCTAGTGCGAGTAAACTCAACACTGCGCACTGAATGAAACAGGCAAAGCTTGATCGTTAGAATCACAAAGCGGTTTCCAATGCAGTTCCGTGGACCAGCGCCGAAAGGAAGATACGTGTACGGTCGAATGGATCCCACATTTTCTTCACTGAACCTGTTAAAGAGAGAGAGATACTAGCAACACTCTCCACAGATTGCATAGCGAAGTAATAATAACCGTACCTTTTGATCATGCAAGATTATTTGTGCTGTGGTGCAGCGCTCATATTTAGAAAATAAAGTGGCCAGTAGCCCGTATTTGTAGTGTTCCATATGCGCACCAGTCTGATTGATTACCAACTCATGCCGTTCCTCCGATCAGGAACATTTTAATCCAATATCAGATTTTGACAAATAGAGATGTTGAGGCTCGTGATCTTAAAGGCACAGCGTGCCCTGATGAGGTCCACGGTTCCTTGAACTTTGCATCATCAGAAAGCAACATGGACACGGAGAAGCAAGCAACATACTATCTTCATGTTACTCCACAGTTACAAAGAATAGAAAGAAATGAGTGAAATGATACTTTATAAAGGCACATGATTTGACATAAAATTATGCAACTTTATGCACATGGTCTTCTTTCTAAAAATCGCACACACAAATATTTAGAGGTGTTCAGGTTAATAGGAATTTTTTATGAGATCACTGGAGCTTTTTGTCTAGTTCTTTGCTGGAATTGACATGTATATTCGTGTCGTTATAAATAGATGAAGGACGAAAAGATCACGTGATTTCACTTGCCTACAACTGCGTGCATTTTTGTTTCGGCGCAAGCAGGCAAGAGTATGTGTGGCCACACAGTCTTGTTTGAGGTACCAAGCGACATTGTCTCAGCGATGAAAAAAACCCTCTTTCAGTAGCAAACCCAGACTTCGTCATATTTCTTCGTGCAAGAAAAGCTTCGTGCAGGGAAGTCGTGCAAGGAAAACTTTTCAATGACCATGCAAAAGCTGCATAGCCCAGTGCGAAACTGTTTTCTCCGTATACTTGCCGCTCAGGCTTGAAACTCTCAGGATCGGGAAAGAACTCCGGGTCATGATGCAGAGCATATACAGGGATATATACGGTGCACCCTTTGGGAAGCTTGATGCCAGTGTCACCGAAGACGTAATCTTCGTAGCCGCACCGTTCAAGCCTTTAAAAAAGATATACATAAAGTGCCTTGCTTTTTTTAGATGATTGCTGATTACCGCTACCATCTGTCCTTCACAGAACAGGAGTATGAATGATGGCATCCAGATATAACAATAAGTGCAGAAGAGCAGGTAGTTTTCGTCGTATATGCGTCCAAACGTGGCAGCTATCATGCCAAATTGGCAGCCAGATTCATAGCAAATAAAGTCACCGTTTACCATTTTCAGTTTCACATGAAAAATCGCATGAAACATTGATGCGCCAGGACTATCACGAGGTTATTGTGTCTGTGCCCTTTTGTCTAGTCCGTTTTTCTTCACTACGGTGTTCGTATGAAGTTTTTACGTCCTACGTAGTCTGACTTCAAAATTTATCCGTGACGCATTTCTGACTATTCGTCTGCGAAGCGTTAATTATTTGTGGCAGAAAGTATTAGCGTCACAATTATAGTTATATACTGTAGCAGAAATTGTTCAAATAAGTAAGTCGCTGAAGCATACAAGTTGGTTATAATATATGTTAAACTCCTGCACACTTGTCTACGCTCATTTCTAAGCAACACAGCAGACGAACGACACGTAATTCTTAATACGAGCTTGGACAGACTGTTTTCAGTCAGCGCTTGTATTGGTAGGTCCTCCTTAGTGTCTTTCACCTCTTGTGCTGTTTGAAAATTAACCCAAACCAACTAGCACACCTCTCTTTTTTTGCTGTCTTTTTTTCGTTGTTATTTCACAAACTCACCTTGATGCGATTGGAAGTATGCGTAGTGTTTCCGAAACTACACAATGAAGATACTTCAACTTCGATATGACGTCTAAACTTGGTTCCGAGCCCTGCACAGAATGAGCACAGAAGTACATGCGGCAAACTTCAGAAGTAAGGACCTCTCAAGCGGCTACAGAATCACCCTGTGAACATTGCTATAAAGACTGTAATTCATTGATAATAGAGATCAAACTTTGCGTACTTATTCTCGCCTATCACCTGCACCAATGGTAGTTGTCCGCACTTTAGCCTAATATTTGCCAAGCTAGAGCTTCTATCGAACAAGTGTTTGCACTACATTCATCTTACTTTATGGACTGTAAATTTTTAAAGTTTTTATTGAAACACTGATTGGCCTTCAAAAACACACCACCTCCATTTCATGTCACGTTGAATGTTTTAAATTTCTTTACACCTTAATTACCTCCCCACGATTTCTCCTAATTAGAAATACATCGCATCCTCCAGACCAAAAGCCATCCGAAATTACCGTGAGTATAACATGTCTACTAGTTTCTATCGCACGTTGGCATTTCGATAGTTCTTTGTTCATTCTATGGAGTTGTGAAATGCTCTGTCTGATTATTTTCAATCTTCGTCACTTGATGTCTTCTTATTGTATCTTACTAATCAATGATGTTCGGCGCATTTTGCTCTTTCATGTAATTGCCTACTCCTACGATAGACCGTCGGGGATTACAGTTGGCTCAATCAATAAAAATAATTAAGTTATAATACAGCGAGGGTTAGGTAGCCACCACTTCCTTACCTAATGTTGGACAACCAATACAAGTAATGATGCTAATCACTGGTGTTCCGCATTTGTTAATCTAAAGCCCTCGGTATCGATGTTGAAGCCTACTTGTGTAGCCTACTCGTGTACCTTGGCACGAAACGAGTGGTGATCGAAAAACGCCTCCGACATTGTATTCGGAAACGGCTGTTAGGGAATTAAAAAAAGTTGGCCCCGTATCTGCATGTAATCTGCAAATATCGTCGAAAGACGATAGTTTTGCGTGTTGAGAGAGTGAAAAAAAAACATTTATTTGATGTTCTGCGCAAGAAAATCGGTGAATGGTATTCCGGAGGCGCTGCGTTAGAGAGCCTCGAGCGTGCAGCGGAGGCGAACGAGCGCATCAAGTCACGTCACACGTGAGACATGAGCGCCATCTGGCAATTTTTTTTGTTTTTGTTTTTGTTTTAAACAAAGCGCGTGGTCATGCATGCCCGTCTCAGAGGTGATGAGGTGTAGAACGCGAGGCGACGGGTAGGTGCCACCATCATCTCGTCTTAGCAAAGCGTTGGAAACACTCCCCTCTCCTTGCAAGCGTTGCCTGGTAAGCGCAGCGTGATAAGTGCTACGGTCCTCAAACTTACTTATGTATGCGTTTTCTAGTAAGAGATGCATATGCAGAATATATGCGTGTTGTTATGGTGCCCCAGACATGCGCAATATTTGCTTTTTAATTGACAATTGAACAAGCATGAACGCTCAACCTTGAGCAACACTGGTGGGCGCTGCGGATGGGGTCGGCTGTTTCGAGTACCCGATGCCGCCAAGAGTAGACAAACAGACAAAGGTAGAGACAGACAGACAGACAGACAGACAGACAGACAGACAGACAGACAGACAGACAGACAGACAGACAGACTAAAATTTTTGCGTTGAAGGTCACCAAGAAAGACTATCGTCTTTAAAAAACGCACGTGTGCAGTCGGCGCCTCTTCTCGGCTTCACACTGCAGAGTAAGACGTAGTGTTCGCTCACACCCACTTCGGTGTACTGACAAACGCGTACTGCACATTCACTTCAATGTGCTGGGGCGTTGGCTCTTGTCGGTGGTGCCAGTCGAAGTCGAGGAGGTTAGTTAGAGTGCCTTAATGATGCCGCATGCCTCGAGACACCCTGCTAGTGATGTAATGGTCATGCCTTTGCGGTACGCGGGAGTAGCCGTGCATTCATGCCACTGGAGAAGAAACGATTCTATACGAGCATGAGACAGAAGACAAGGGAATCCCAAACTGCTGCAGCGAGAAGCGGAAGACGGACTGCCGTGGCGAGCGGGAGACGTAATTGCATGCACGGCATTAAAAGGAACTCGCAAGAGCCGTTCAGAGGGTTCCGTTTAAAGCAAAACATACACACTTTTCATTCCAGCTTATCTCGCCTTATATATGTGAAAAGATTTTCCTTTGTTCTGTTTGTACCACGAAGTGTGCATTCTCATAAGTCTACTGTAATTGTTCCGCTCCTTCGCACTCACAGTTGCAGTTGGGGGCAACCCTGAGTGCAAAGCCAAACATGCTTGTTGATAAATGCGGAGCGGGCGCACGCTTTTCGCGCTGGCTCCTATTGATGCTGATGCTGCAAGCCAGTTTTATAAATAGGAATAACTGCAATAAAATGAAGCGAAGCTCTTCATTCTCCACCACATTTCACTACAAGAAGTCTACAAAGAATACACTATGCCGCATCATGGGAGTAATAATGTAGTGAGAGAGGAAGACGGGACGGCGGCCAACGTGGTCGGGTCGTTCTCTCGCCACTTTATTCCACGCCTGAAGCGGAGCCGTGTGGTTTTCCACGTCCAACACACCAAGTCCGCTAGCTTCTTCTAATCCTCGCGCAGCTCGAGCTATCGCATCAGCTGCACGAGAGGCGCAGCGCGGTGGCTAGAAAAAGTGGCGATGATGATGAATGGCGGTGATGATGACGCTACAGATTACTCCCCCCCCCCCCCCCCGCAGAAATAAAGCCGGAATGAAAATAATGAGGGCGTATATACAAGCGAGTTAGGTTTGCAAAACGAAACGGGGTCCGTGAGCAGTCCAGGTCGTCAACTGGAAGGGACAATCGGCAACCAGTGGTTCTCTGGCGGGCGACACTGGAAATGGCGCAGCGGACGAGGGTGGCTACGCAGGCACGCTGTTGGAAGGAGCAGGCGAGGGTCATGATGAAGGGACACTTTTGTCGATAGCGAGTACCAACGACAAGGTGAAAAATGGTCAAGGGCCGAGAACACACACGGGCCGTTTCAGTGCGGTCGATTCTCACACGCACTCGGACACTGATGCTTAAAAGATGGACTGTAGCATGAGCGTAGTACGGCCAGTCCAGAGGGTCTGGTGTTACTTCCTTGTTGGAGCTGGTGGGAACGTCGACAGGCAGTGCGGTCAATCCTGCTAGTGTGTTTACCGTGCTGGTACCGCCACTTCCGGTGGTACATTACCGGCTGCGGCGGCCGCCTGGTCGGCCGAGTAGGGTGCAGATAATTTGGAAACGGTGCGCTTTGGACCGATGAAGTGCGACATGGTTTACAGTGATAACGAGCCGGCTCAGAGGGCACTGATAGATTGCTTTTTCCGACCTTTGACGACGTGTAACGCGTAGTCGTACACCGATGAGTCCTTGCGTTGTTCGAGCTAGAACCGACGTTTGGTGATGCGAGATCTAGCGGCGGGTATGTGGCGTCACAGTTGTCATGAGCCGTCGACGGCGTTGAAATGCTCAAGCACGCGTGCGTAGTGGTAGGCGAATGGTTTAACTTCGCATCTGTTGGGGCATGCACGGTGTGTTCCACCTGTGGTGAGCCAGGCGTGCGGTTCTCGGGATTTCCTGACATCGTCACAGCATCATGCACGTTCAGCCGTGCATGCTCAGGGGCTTGAACTTCTGTAGGATACATCGAGGATGATGTTAGTAGGTTCTGGCCGTCCACGAGGTTTTGAGCAGCAGGCACCGGTGTGCAGGGGAAACTGGCGGCGTGCAGTGTCACAGCGGGCTCTGGGTCCATTATGTGAGTGGTGTCGTGGGCCTCCACAGGTGCCCGGACAGGCGGGGAGTCTGCAGGAAGGTCAGCTGGCCCAGCTGCGTTCATCGAATTGCCCGGGACAGACAGTTCAGCCGATTAAGTCTCTGCAGCGAATGCGACGGTGCACGGGGCAGCGGCCCGTGTCGAATCTATGTGTCCAGTTGCCGGCAGGGGAATGGTCTGGACTGGTTGTGGGGCGAGAGTCATCCTGGAAGGTGATGAGCCAGGTGCAGTTGTGTCATTTTTGGGAGGAGGAGCATGTTTAAGGCCGTAAAACTTGAGCACGGCATCTCGCAAGTGATCGTACGGGCGAGGGCTCCAGGAGAAGTATGCGAGGTGGTGTTTGAGGTCATGTGGAAGATGGCATTCCAATATCTCGTACATGAGCTCTTGGATCCAGACGCCGTTGTGATACAAGGCCGCCGCAAACTCCTCGAACGACGACTCTAGGCGAGAGGTCCGGAACGAAGGCAGTGGGGGGTTGAATTGAGGCTGCCAGGCTTGTGCTGACTGGAACATGGCCGCGTAGCTCGGTGGAAGTAGTGCAGCGCCGGTCGCTTGTTCGTGTGTCCGTGGTCACCAATGTAGCGAGAGAGGAAGACGGGATGGCGGCCAACGTGGTCCTGTCGTTTTCTCGCCACTTTATTCGACGCCTGAAGCGGAGCCGCGTGGCTTTCCACGTCAGACACACCAAGTCCGCTAGCTTGTTCTAATCCTCGCGCAGCTCGAGCTATCGCATCAGCTGCACGAGAGGCGCAGCGCGGTGGCTAGAAAAAATGACGATGATGATGAATGGCGGTGATGATGACGCTACGATAAGTTATTCACCTATTTGGAACATTCTTATAGCTTGAATACTTATCAAGTGGAGCACAAATAAATCTTTGCTCATATTTTCAGTAAATTAAGTTCGCCTTTACTGAACACCAAATTTAATCTGGACGAGATAAGATGAAGGCCCTTTTCGTGGACGTTATACCACACGAGCCGCACAAACAGAGCGTCTTTGTGCTTTAAGTCTATAGCCCGCCATCGGACCAAAGAAATACGACTCACTGTCTGCATAGGAAGGCGACGTCAATAGGCAAGCATTCTGATAATTACCGGCTGATAATTACCGGGGACTTTAATGCTTCCCATAACTATTGGAGATATGCAGAAAATACTGCAAAATGATGAAATCTGGCAGAGATCCTGGACGATTTCGCGTTTATGGTAATCTCTATTCCAGGGTTCCCGGCTATAGGTTGGGCGCGTTGGTTTCTTGATAAACAACGCCTGACTTAGCATGTCTATGGAACACAGGTAATGTCACGTGGGCCGATAAGCAAGATAATCTGGGCAGTAACCACTTCATAGTGGCGGTAATTTTAAAGGTCGATGCTAGACCAGCAAGGGTATTTAGAGTCACAGAATTAGATAAGTTCAGTAGAATCAGAAAGGATCGTATGAGCACACATTCCACGTTCAGTGAGGCGATCATCTCACTTAAAGAGATTGTAGAGAGGGCTACTACGGTAATACAAACAGAAGCAGAAATACCAAGATTTAACCAGCACCTAGCTCAAAAGTTTGAAGCCATATCCTCGACTATGAAGAGATGAAAAAACACAACGGCTGAACTGCAAGTTGAGAAAAATGGTTGTGGAGCCTAATTGGCTAATAGAAAGTTACTGCGTGGAGTTCAATAGGCTGCAATGGGACGAGGCAGTGAACGGGTCCATGCGCACATTAGTGAAGTCTAACCTCTTAAAGCATCTCCTTGGTGACGCACAGACTAAAGGAAATCAAAGGCAAGCACAAGCAGAAGGGTGATACTGAGTAATCTTTTTTTAGTGCAGTACCTCCCCATATCACGGAAGACGAGAATTGATTTTCGATCCTTAACAGGATCGGAGATCAGGGCGGTGCAACACAATATCATATCCGGTGCTGGATTATGTTTCAAACAGGTTATTACGAACCTTGGACGATAACGCAGTGTAACTGCTGAGTATATAAGGAGGTCAACAGGGCAGAAGAGGTAGAAGAGGTGCCCATCGCATGGAAAGTGCTCCTGATACTGATTCCGAAACCTCAAAACCCCTTTAGGTTGGATAACATGAGACCTATATCGCTTACCTCTGTATAGGGAAGGTAGCTGAACAGGCTATATTGAACTAAGTGTCCGGGTAATCGAGATTAGGAGCCTATTCTCTCATACTATGGTGGGTTTTCGGCCTTGCCTATCGACGCAGGAGGTTATGCTAATGCTAAAGAAGCAAATCTTTGTTAGCCGCAATTAAAACGTAGAAAGTATTTTAGCCCTCGCCATCACTAAGGCGTTACACATAGTGTTCCACGTGCGTATACTGCAGGTCATGGCGGACATGAGCCCTATAGAGTCAAAGTTTAGGCCTTTATCAGGTCATTTATCATAATAGAACCGCCTCTATTAAGGTAGAGCATGTTAGGTCGAACGAGTACAAATTGAAACCTGGAGAGACCCCCAATGAATCACTCATATCACCACTACCTTTACTATAGCAATGAAGGGCCTCTGAGACAGGCTAAACAGTATCCGAGGCATAGCTCATGCTCTTTATGCGGATGATATTACGATTTGGTGTCCAAGAGAGTTCCTTAGCGAAAATAAAGCAAGCTCTTCAAGCGGCCTTGAATGAGATGGAGGCATACCTCATGGACACGTGTCTTAAGCTTTCTCCGAGTAAATCGTAGTTGTAGTTTACAGACCAGCAATACAAGGGGTTCGAGAACTAATACCCCCTGACCACCTCTCCATGGCGTTATATGCACGTGGGCAGAAAATTTCTATAGTGGACTCAGTCAAGATTTTAGGCCTGCTGATAGACGAAATGGTTTTTAATGTTAGATATATTACCGACGTCACGACAAAAACAGAGAATATGCGGTGGTTAATAGCTAGGGTGTCCAACTGGAAGAAGGGATTAGGCGAGGGCAAGATTTTGAGGATGCACCACGTGTTTCTCATGAGTCATATTAACAATGTGGCGTCCGTGCTGTATTGCTGTATAGTCCGAAACAGAAAAAAGGAAGTTGTATGCGCTTATGCGCAAGAGCATGAAGAAAACGCTAGGCTAGCCGATTTGCATGAGCTCCTGCAGGTTAGAACCACCCGGTATGCGTAATACCATAGACGAGATCATAGAGACACAGGCGATTGCCCAGGTAGTTAAGCTATCACCTTCCAACGCTGGCAAGAGAATCCTTGATGAGCTTGGCTTTGCTCCTATGGTTATGGACGAACGGCGGACAACGCTGAGTCGGGAAACGAGGGCGACCTACGTGGTGGGGACCTTCCCGTGACAGGTACATCCCCAGTATAAGGAGGGTAGGCGTGAAGCCCGTCCATGAGCTATCTTGAAAAGAGTAAGAAATCACATGTCTTTGTTGATGCAGCGCAGTATGGAAACAGACGAATGTTCGCGCTGTCAACAATAAACGTGCGGAGAGCGCTTCGTTCCTCCGCCTCAGTGAGGGCGGCCACACCAGGCATATATATTAGCAAGCGGCAGTTGCGTTGACTTTGTCAGACCCAGAATGTCCCTACGTTTTCATCGACTAGATAGAGGCAATCGGAGGTATTGAATCGGACAACCTCGCTCGATAGGCGGCCTCCATTCTAGAGAAGAGGGCTTGCCCCGGCTCTCAATTCCTCACTTGTTTCCCTGCAAACATGGCGAATAACGTTCTCGAGGGCTTCCCGAAACTCAATGAGCTGGCCCGTGATTGTACGTGAGAACTCATGTGAAGTGATGGTCTGGATGCTCTAGAGGGGCAGGAATATACTCAGCAGAATGATTAACTTCAATTACATCACTAAAAATTGCAAGCTTGGCAGGCGACTCTATCCTTCCTCGCCCGAAGCTTAGCAGCAATCAGTCAGTTATTCTGAGAATGGCAACGTTTGCTGATGATTTTACACTCCCCCTCCCCGCTTTAACATACACTACCCCCCAGCCTGTAGGAGACTAAATTGCGTGACTGCGGCCTACTGGCTCAGGTGAGTTTGAGACACCCGGTCTAAAGAGATTATGAAGCACTTGCTGTCAAAGAAAAAAAGCTTCGACCAAGTTACTCGGTCTTGATTGGGTTCTAGCTTTCACAAAATTTGATAGAGTGTTACATAGACCATGAACGCCAGAGCGCAAAAACTCCAATACGTTAACTCGTTTCTTTCAAGAGCTCCGGAAAACGTTTTGGTGTGACCGCGAACAGCAATCTGAGTCTCTTATTTGTCGATAGAGAAAGGCTCTATGAGGGAAGGCTACACATTAAATGTGGGCAACTTTTTGTCGCAATTAACAAGACAGAGGGTGTTTCTAATTTTAAATGCTCAAACACATGTACATTCAAATTCTACGAACACCAGTGAGAAATATACTTGCATTCGCCGCGATACACTCTTCCACTTCTTTTTGGAGTTTTTCTTGGATGATAGGATTAAGTGCGAGATGGTACGCGGCAAACGTTATCGTGGTGGACACAGCTTCTTGACCAGACAGGAAGAAGATTACGCACTGTGCCGTGGCCTCCAATTCACTAAGACCTTTGTGTAAAGAAACAAGAGGGCATGTTCAAGGAGCCAACACGGTGTGATAAAAGCGAGAGAAAAAATTTGTTCTCCCTTCGAAATGTGACCTTGCTTTTTGAATACGTTATTCCTCGCATTATGCTTGAATAATGAAAGCACTAAGAGAGGGTAGGGGAGGGCTTTTTAATGGAACTACTTGGTTTGAATAAATCCTACGTTACTCTTTCAAGCCATGGCGCATATTTGTAAGTTTTCTTGTTTTTCAGCTTTTATCGACGATGCTCCTCTCTCTCTTCGCTACCTCTTCTTTGTGTTTCCAACATTGCTCCAAGAATAACACCTTAAGAAATATTAGACAATAACTATAGCTTAGCAACAGATTTTTGCGATGCTTACCTGTCTCCGTGAGTGCAGTGACTAAATTCCTTTGCGACTTTTTCTAGTACTTTTTTCTCCCCCTCTCTCGAACTCGAAAGGAGAGGAAAAGGACAACAAATCTACTTTGTGGCACCAGGAACACAAAAACAAACATGCTACGAAGCGTGGTAGAGTTTCCCTGACGAAGTGCAATCCGCGTTTTGAAACGATGGCCCCACGCGATATAAGCCGCTCAGTTCTTCTGCTTAACATCAGCATCCACGTCCCCGTGTGCTCCTGGGTTCGAAAGATGCTCGAGAGTACTCACGTTTATTATTCTTCGTCGAAGACAGCTTAGTATCACAGCCAACATCGAAGATCTCGTTTTCGGGCTCCTCCGTGCTGTCCTCGGCTGAGGCCAGGCAACCTTCCTGGGCGTCCATCATGAGTTGCAAGAAATCCTCGTGACGCTAAAAAGACAAGGCATGCTGTCGTTATTAACCTGCGTTGTAAAAAAATTACTTTATTAAGGCAGGGGAGCGTGATTATATAGGAAATATTATTGAAACAGAATATAAATAATGATTTGTGGCACGTTTGTCTGAGGGCAACTACTTAGTGGAGTGGTGGAAAGACATGTTGGTGCCTTGCTATATATATATATATAGTGGGAGTAATAATTCAGTGGGCCAGTTAGTCTTCGTGAAGGTATGTGATATGGCACAACGGGAGCGTTGTCAACAAGGATAAATATATTTATTTCCCAACAGTTTTGGGAAGGGTTTTCTCTTTATCAGGGGATGAGTTATACTCATCCCTGATGAAGGGAGGACCCCTCCCGAAACTGTTGGGAAATAAATATATTTATCCTTGTTGACAACGATCCCGTTGTGCCATATCCCATATATATATATATATATATATATATATATATATATATATATATATATATATATATATATATATATATATATATGTGTGTGTGTGTGTGTGTGTGTGTGTGTGTGTGTGTGTGTGTGTGTGTGTGTGTGTGTGTGTGTGTGTGTGTGTGTGTGTGTGTGTGTGTGTGTGTGTGTGTGTGTGTGTGTGTGTGTGTGTGTGTGTGTGTGTGTGTGTGACGATAATGCTGATGACGGTGAAAACTAAGCGCGTTCCACGCCACACCTACTCTTTCTATACCATGAATTAAAACGATCGTGAAAGCTCTGTAGCCCAACAAAGGCTACGTGGCAACATCTACAATAATCTGCTACTTTAGAGGCGAGAGTGCGGCGGCTCAACGCCTACGCAGACAGCAAGCTACCCCAAATGTGAGAGCTCGGGAAGCAGCGCAGCAACAAGGCAACGCCGACAGCAACCTGCTACTCCGTAGTGTGAGGCACGGGGAGCGGCGGCTCAACGGCAAGAACACATTGAGTACACGGTACATATGCGTTGCCACTCATTTGCATGCGTGACTGGGCAATGTTACTGGTGATCTGCGGTAAGAATAATTCTCTGCGCTTCGCCCACTCGTCATAATTTACATCATATGTAGATTCCCGTATGTACATTAAGCCCCAATCATCATTTCATTTGAGAGTTTTCGACTACGCCAGCTAAGTTGTTTTAGGTACAATAATTTTCTCGGCTTCTTGCCTGATTTTGTAAAGGTGTAACGATTCTGACAGAAGCTACGGGCTGCCTAAAAAAGTCACAGCTTTTCCGCAAAGGCGAAGCAATGAACGCGTTATCAACAAGTTGGAAGGTCATGCGCAGAATGGCAGGCAGATCTAAACGTGCCCCACGTTTCTTGCGCGCAAACAAGATAGCCCCCCCCCCCCTCCCCCGAGGTGCCTGCTAACAGCGGTAAGTGGTAGATATAAATAGCTTGCCGTTTGAAAGTTGAAATAGGTATCCTTCGGTAGCTGATTGAAAATGCAATAGATAATCTCGTCACGGGCAAGTCCCCTGGGCCTGATGGTCTTGGTGCGATATGGTATAAAGCTTTTAAAACAGAAGTCTCACCAGTGTTACAAGCTGTATTCAAGGAAGCCTACGCAATTAAAGCATTACCACCTTCATTTGCTGAGACGCTCACTATTATAATACCAAAGACGGATGAAAAAGCAAAATTAAAACTAGTTCCGTCGTATAGGCCATTTCGCTAACCAACACTAACTACAAAATACTCATGAAGGTATTGGCAGGTAGATTGCAGTCCGTAATCACCGAAATAGTTGGGGAGCATAAACATGTGGCATCAAGGGACACTCAATATTGATGAACACACACTCATTGAGCTGTGTCCTTGAGAGTTGCGATGCTTTTCATTCTCATGTTGCGATCCTCCAGCTTGACTTAGAGAAGGCTTTTGATTGCGTCCCGCATGATGTGCTTTTCTCCATACTTGAACTTGTCAGTGTTGGATCGGTGATTACAAAGGGCATAGTTTTGACGTATAGGAGCTGTACTACGCGACTAATTATTTAAAAATCCGGGGTCTCCCATTAGGCTGGAATGTTCTGTACGCCAAGGCTGTCCGGCAAGTTCACTTTTGTTTGCATTGTTCCTATAGAGCTTGTGTTTTGCCATAATAGAAAACGAGACCATCCACGGTTTCGGACTGCTTGACTCTGAGGTAAAAGTTTTGGCATACGTTAATGGTGTAGCAGTATGTTGTACCACCAAAGAAAGTGTACAAGAGACAGTTGCCGTTGTTAAAAATTTTGGAGAAATTACAAGAAGTCGAGTGAATTGGAAAAAGTGTCTAGGGCTGTGGCGCGGAGACTGGACATCAACCCTAGATATCTATGCTAACGTTCACTGGGTTAATACTCTAGTAAAATACCGAGGCATGCCTTTTGAGCACTACAAAGACACTAATGACGGCTGGACTGAACAAATAAAAGAAACACGCGAAAGAACAGCACAGTGGAACGGAAAATGTCTCTCGATGTTTGCCAGAGCCACTGTATGCAACATATTTTTAATGAGCAAATTATGGTATGTGACGCAGGTTTTGTGTTTCTCACTGATGCATGTGCAAAGGCTGCATAGAATATTTGCTGTGTTTGTATGGGGGTCCACTTGGGAAAGATGTAGTAGGACGAATCTGTTCCAAAGAGTTAAGCAAGGGGGACTAAGGCTGTTGCATCTCTTCGAGCGACAGCTAGTCAATCGTTTTATTTTATTTTGAGAAGTTTGACACCCATTCTTGAGAACGGTATGCCAGTTACGCCTTTGTCGTGTTTTGCCTAACTTTGCGGTTAGCACCGCAAGCAAGCCCGGAGGCACGCGAGGTTTCTTTAAGGAAATCGCGGATAGTGTCCGCGTTTTGTCAGTTTGCTTTTCCAATGAATACCTGTATTCAATCGGGCAAAAGAAATCGCATAAATACATATGCGACATGATTTTTTCGGTTCCTATGTATTGGTTAGTAAATAGTGGAGGAGAGGGCAATGATGTTCTAAAGCGTGTTAATAAAATGCAAATTCAGCCAAGTGCAAAAAGTTTTTTTCTTTAAATTACACACGCGCACGATCCTGGTTCAGACTTTTTTAGAAGATTAGATTACATTAGATTAGATTTGTGGGGTTTAACGTCCCAAAACCACCATATGATTATGAGAGACGCCGTAGTGGAGGACTCCGGGAATTTTGACCACCTGGGGTTCTTTAACGTGCACCCAAATCTGAGTACACGGGCCTACAACATTTCCGCCTCCATCGGAAATGCAGCCGCCGCAGCCAGACTTTTTTAGAAGATAGAGGATTTTATATGCAATGGGGTTTGAACTGTTTGATCTGTTGAAAACCGGAAATAATAGATCACGTTTTTTTTTTTTTTGCATTGTTGGGAAGAGGTCTACTTCAGGGATGTTTTACAGAGAACTCTCAAAAATGAACTTCTCCGACATTAACTGGGTATCAGGTTTTTAACAGTAGAAAAAAAAGGAGCGACTGCCTTTTGATCTTCTAATGCTGCTTGGCCTCCATTGTCTATGGCGAGATAGAATGGCCGGTTAGTACTGTAACCCTGACAGGCGTCCGGCGTGCGTGCTTTTCCGCGAAAGCATTGCTCAATACATTGCTATACTCAGACAAGAACACTTCATTCCGCAATGGCTCTTCAGGGCAGAACCCCTGGTGAACCTAAAGAAATTTTAGCACTGTAACCACTAATGGTTCGGTGACTGTCTTGTCTTCGATTTTGTTGTGTATAATATTGTTCATAGACCTATACTGATGTTTGTACCAAGAGCAAAACAGGTAATAAATTTAGAAAATGTCAGCAGAGCCCACGTATCTGGGAATCGACTATATGCGAAGCACGCGGACGGAAGGTGGCCGTGTTGCTTTTTTTTTATTGAGCGACACGTCATGAAATAACGCTAAATATATGTACGAATGTTACACGCAGAGACATATGTTGGAGAGTTGCAGCTGTTTATATACCCAGTTTTCCACTTGCACAACGATGTCAGCTGGAAGTGCTGTGGCGCGCACACTGCGCCCGTGAACGCGCTTGGAGGCGGATTGATTGATTGATATGTGGGGTTTAACGTCCCAAAACCACTATATGATTATGAGAGACGCCGTAGTGGAAGGCACCGGAAATTTCAACCACCTGGGGTTCCTTAACGTGCACCCAAATGTTAGCACACGGGCCTACAACATTTCCGCCTCCATCGGAAATGCAGTACCACAATAGACGCTAACCCGACGAGACGGCTGTATGAAAGGAGTGCACATGTAATGTTTATAAAATTGGTTATGCAGCACTGCAACCATTATTGACGTTTCACGAAGATTAGCATCTATCTGAAAAGTAGTTCCGAGAACTAGCGTAGCTTTGGGGTAGAATGCTTGACTGCCACGCAGAATGCACGGGCTCGATTCCTTCTGGGACCCTGAAATATAATATTTGCATTCGTCGGGTATACAACGTTGCCTATGTCAGGTTTTTATTAACATTGACATTTGTTCTATGCCTTCGTTGGGTCGACACTACCAATGTCCGGTATTAACGCTTAATACTCACGCGTTAAAATGCCCTATGTGTGTTCTCGTCCTTCCTGGGTAGTGTCCACCACCTTTGACACATACCCGCTTACGAGCGGCACATACCCGCCCGTGAGTATGTGCCACTGTCTGGCGGGAAGTGTTTGACGACGTACGCGACGGGATTGTAACATTATTCATGTCTTCAGCAACGCGTCATATTTGTCAAACCATCTTACCCTCCCATGTTAATTTTGGTTCACACGAAGTTATGGGGGTGACCATGAGAGTACCCAAACGTAAGCGGATAGATAGATAGATAGATAGATAGATAGATAGATAGATAGATAGATAGATAGATAGATTGAATGGATGATTGATTGATTGATTGATACGCTCAAAGTCGCCGAAGTTCGCTAAAAAATGTTTCGCACTTTCGAAAACCCTTTCGGTAGCTCAGTGGTTACTGCTTCGCATTCACGACGCTGAGGTCCCACGTTCGTCGAGGCCACGTGCTGGAGTCTTCTTTTTTGTTTCTTTCTTGCGTTTTATATATATATATATATATATATATATATATATATATATATATATATATATATATATATATATATATATATATATATATATATATATATATATATATATATATATATATATATATATACGGTGTATGACATTGAAGCTGCTGCCCATCTCGACGCTGGCGCCGGCGGTGAAATCCAGCCGCGAGTATCCATATACTTGCTGTCGTGATGAGGGTGCGTATGTCAAGTGGCTTGAAGTACGGTCAGATTGGTCATTTGCCATGCCTGAAGAAGCCATGCTTTAATTATTAAGAGTACTCTGACGAAATAGTTTTTTTTCTACCTACCTACCAGTATTTGTGTACTCTGGACAGTGATGGTTATTGCTGGCTAACATTTAGTTCATTGTGACACATGTTGGCAGACGGAGCACGTAGCGCTATTCTTGAGAATATGCGCGTACATGGAAACACTGGCGTGCATAGAGCAGGCATGCTAAAAGAGACACGCTGGACGTACCTTGCCAGCCTGGCGTCTCTCCTTCATGATGCGCTCGCAAACATTAGTGAAAAACTCGTAGTTAGCAGGGTTTTGTGTATTAAATCGGAAAGTACTTCATGAGTCCAGGAAACAACACTGAAAATTGTAGAAGATGCCATCTTAAATATAATGCAAAAAAGAAGCCCCCCACCAAAAGAAAATAAACGCAAGTTGCTTTCTTGTTTAAAAGTTTCTACTATTTGCGCATCCTGTTAAGGCATGAGCGCCGTTCGGCATTTAGGATATATAGGATTGTCTCGAGGGAATGCGCTAACCACTGTGCGCAACTGTGTGCGTATATATATATATATATATATATATATATATATATATATATTTAGGTCGCAGGTTCGGATTCTGCCCATGGCAAGTTATCTTTTCACCCACTTTTTTTTTCATATTTACATTACAATTTGGTCTAATATCTTCCTCTATACTTTCCTTGACATTATTGTCTGTTAGATCTCATTATTATTGTGTAAAACACGGAAAAAACGAGCCCTTATGTATACACTTTTTTCCTGATATATATATATATATATATATATATATATATATATATAGTGTGTGTGTATTTCAAAATACTGTGTATGCTGCTGGCCACTTTAACAACATAGTCAAATCAATTCTTACTTGCAACAGCTATCCTCCAAGACATTCTTCTTTCCGAAAATAACTTGTTGACGTTCTCCACAAACACATTCGAGGTCTCTACGTGAGAATTAATGATTGTGCCAAAGGCGCACCTTGCTATCACATCGAGGGTGTAGTGCCCGTATAGTCTGCAAAATAAAAGGCAACGCATTCGGTTGGTAAAGCTATCTGCGTGATTTCAAATAATATATAGTGACCATAGCAAAAGGTATACCTGCAGTCAGAACTCTAAATAAATTTGACCACCTGGAATTCCTTAATTTGCACCAACGTCAGTTAAAACAAGTGGTGTGCTTTCCTTCAAATCTGGCTGAGCGGACGCAAATTAAAAATGCACCTCTCATTGAGCACCATAACGCCAGATTTCCGATGGAGGCGGAAATGTTGTAGGCTCGTGTGCTCAGATTTGGGTGCACGTTAAAGAACCCCAGGTGGTCTAAATTTCCGGAGCCCTCCACTACGGCGTCTCTCATAATCATATAGTGGTTTTGGGACGTTAAACCCCACATATCAATCAATCAATCATAACGCCAGACATGCTCAGCCAGCGTGACTTACAATATAATGTAGGTGTACTAACTAACCTTCTCAAGTCAACGTCTTCCTTGGTCTCCGCAGCTTCATTGAGGTGGTTTGACATTATCATTGCACATTTCTGAATCATAGAGTTCATCTGCAAGTCAATAACGGGATATTTTGCGCATGAAAGAAGGCAAAATGGGCTAAATTCTGTTACAAAAAACGTAACGTATGATTCGCTATGATAAAACTTGAGACATTAGCCGATACAGGCGACGATAACTCTTCAGCTATGTAAACGATGAATCGAATTGTGATAATAGCTCTAACGCCAGCTTTTGTCATTCACAGCCTATGTTATGCTTAAGAAAATACATTTAAGGACGAGTACTTTTTGCACTCTTTAAAAAGTACTCTTTGAGGATTGTGAACAACCCAGCCCAATTATCGCATAAACAAGTGTTGTTCTCTCTGTCCTTCACACGCAGCTTCGGTATCAATAATATCCATGCGCTCTTCATTCGTAAGATCTAAATGTTGAATATTCATCTGACTGTTCGACAATGGCTTAACATGCGTGTTTTGCTTAACACGCCTTTTGAAATGATATGAAATGAAAATGATATGAAATGAAAAGAAAACCCTCATAATATGCTATTTCCATGTGATACCTTACGTTAGAATGCGGTGTCATTGCCGTATGAGTCGACTAAGAAACAACGCGTGTGATGATAGACTAATAAAAGAAAAACTTGAAGCTAAATTGTAGTAATTCACTCATAACAGCACAGTTGTACATAGGGTTATTGTTACAGCTTTATGACATGTCTGCAATAAACAAAGCAAAATCTACGGCCAGTCTCTCGCAGTAACTTGCCGCAACTTGCTCAGACATCGATATGATTCCTTCTACAGCCGTATTTGAGAAAATATATGAGGTTGTGTTATCCATATCTGCTATCCGTCAACATCTAAATTCTTAGCCCACCTTCCGAAAAAAGTACTGGACACTAAGTTATCAAGTATATTTGATATAACCCATAGACTAGTACTTAAACAGTTCGAGCTTTCGAACCACTTGATTAGATACTTCTGTATTCACATTTTCATGCATTATCAAGGCCTGCATAAGAAACCACCAAGTTGCGCCTGCCGCAGTGTTCGTACGTACCTTACGCAGCTTTCCTGTGGAGAACGCTGGGCTTGTCGTGGTACGGATCGGTCGCCAGCGCTCTACGGGGGCCCTGATAATCATGTTGTCTAATACAGGAATCGATGTTTTTCCAAGCTGGAATAAAAGATGCACATCGCTACTTACTATATGCGTCATTGTTTTTGTATTCTCAAATTCGGTGACACTGTGCTTTGTCCTTAGGGGATACTGGCGAATATTGTGACCACGACAAAGTTTAGCGAGCTACCAGTGGTCGTCGAAAATTTCAATCTTCAGAACAACCAATTCTTAATGACGGCTAACACACACTGCGTGTGATGATGTGCAGGGCAGTCATCAATGCATCGAAAAATTCATTTTTATTGCAGGGGGAAGCAATAAATGTGATGGCAAGAAATAGTAATCCTAAATAAACTTATGCTGGCAGCTATTTATCTTAGATCCGATCTCGCATAACTCTATGAAATGCCAATGTAGGTGGCCTTCAAGGCGGGTTGATCTTATCGTATTTTTCCTCAAAACGACAGAGAGTTTCCGACTTCCCTCGATATCTGCTTAGCTGGCTTTGTCGCGCCCTCTTTTACTCAAGGTAGACACGATGCGTAGGGGCTGTTACCGGTTCTAGCTTTATACGGGACGAGATGATGGCAGCGACGGCAAAAACCTATCGATAGTGTCCATATAATGGCTACCACAGTTAATTTTCCGAAACTTTCAAAGTTACCGGTAATTACAACGTTAAGTGGCTCATTCATGTTCACTACTGCTGAATTCAATAACTAGCATTATAACTTCATATTTCTACTTCCCCTGTAACCAAGCTATGTGGTTTTAGTTAGTTCTGCATGCTCCTATTGCGCAGGACTTGTGAACTATTAGATGTTTATTGGTTAAAGTAATAACTAAAATGAATAAAAATGATAATGAAATTACCATACCACTCTGTTTGGTAAGCGTGTAAAGTCCTTGACCAAGACCTGCTTTATAAGGTCCGGCTCTGCGACAAAGAGGCAGGGTTTCCCTTGCTCGAAGGCACTAGATTGAAGTGAAAATTATAGTAGTGTTTAGTCTGTGTCTACTCATAGGTGTCAAAAATACACGTAAGCTGGTTTTCTCGATGCTAGGTAGCTTCTAAAAAAGCTACTGTGCTATATTACAAGAGATATAATAGAGAATAAATAAATTATAAAGAGTGAAATAGACATAAATACTCACTATTTTATATTTTTGCATTCTACCACACCCTACTCTACACAAAACACAAGCTGAGACCAACAGAACTATCTGTATAACTCGAAAGAAATCTATTAAAAAATTACCATTTGCTTATTCGATCACTGTTATTTAGCTAAGTGGATGTTCTTACTTGTTGAGGCATGCTTTTTTTTAGGTTATCTGCAACTTGTTTTTGTTTACGTTCAATAATAATTAACTGTAAGTTCAGCGCGTGTGCGCTGAGATCGTCACATTGCATGCAGTGAGAAATGGCTCACCCACCGTTAAGGCCTCCAAGCTTCCCAGTAAATTAGTTGCCTGCTTTAGGATCTTTTTCTTTTTCTCTTTTCATCGAAGCAGGTACGTTAAATAAGCATACAAGAAATGTTCTTGGTGACATCTTTGAGGAGTACTCCACATTGAAGTTCTACCTCCGGACAACAACATGCATTGCTTCTATGCAGTAGAATACTCAGACCGACGTTTGGCAATGTAGACGAGGAAATGACTTCATCGCACGCATTGCCATCGGTTACAGTTTTTATTTGGTACTAAGGCATTGCGATTATTATTGACTAGGTTTTCGCCTGTCGAACTTTCATAACCAAACAATACCCGTTGTAAACACTCACCCAAACACCCTCCCGAATTTCTTGTATCTTTCTTGATCAATCAGGCACATGGGCTGTAAAGCAAAGACAAGCGTTATTGCGGTATTTGAAATGTTCATAGACTGTCGCGTCACCTAGCGGAATTCAGGAGCGTCCTCCCATGGATGATCAGTAGGCAGACGCTCCCAATGCTGCCTTGTTCGGTGGTGCTAGCCGCAGTGTTAACGCGTTAGCAAGAAACGAACACAAACCACTTTGTATGTTTCGTGCATCAGTAAATATACCGGATCGTCCGTGGCACGATGAATTTGATTCGTTCTTGCAAGACGCGAAGTTTCCGTGAAAATACGTGGCAACTTGCTCTTTCTATTATAGCCCGCAGAGTACACATATCAGCTTCGCGAAATTTTCTGCAGCTACTTTGGATAGTAAAATATTAACGTCTGACCCTTTCAATTAAATCTCGCCTAGTTTTACGTGCGTATAGTATTTGTTAGTGTTTTTGTAGTGCATGAATCCCGTACCATTCGTTGTATGTGGAGAGTAACGCAGGCTCTCGATTTGCACTTCCGCACCCTGGCCTACGCTGCGCCGCTCGTTTTTTGCGTTCGTTGATAGGTGGCAGCACACTGCAAACGATTCTTCTTTTGCCCGGTATCGGAGCGAAATGATCTCCGCACCCCCAGATAAACGTGGGGAATGACGCCCTGTGGGTGTTGTGCGTGGTGAATGACACGTTGTTGGTGCTATCGAAGTCTTTTGGCGGAGATAATTCTTCAGATTACTTTCAGCAGTTATGTTCAAAGAAACCGTCTTGACGTCGAGGATTTTTCACTGGACGTAGATGGTTGCCAACGCACTGAGAGTGACAGCGACGATGAACGATCAGCTGCTAGCTCACGGGCAGAGAGTTACACTCAACGTCCCGTGATGCGTTAATGTTTTTTTTTTTTCACGCTCGTAAGTCACTTTGATTGTATTTATTGAAGAATATCTTTCAGCGAGCTCAAAATAAAAGCGTACCTTTTCTCGTGCATTGAATGTATCCGAATTACAATAGATATTACAAAACGTCGCATGCCGCCAACACGCTCGAGCTCGACCAGTGAAGCGAAACGGTTGGAGCAATGAAATAGGCAGTTCCGACTGCAGTCCACGCTAACTTCTCCTGCACTTCACTGGTGCCATCCGAAGGACGTTGTTATGCGACCAACTTTCGCAATTTAGACGTCGCGAAAAGCGTACGCGTGTATTCGTTTCACTATCCTTGTTTCGATCGCGCTGATGAAACCCGCAACATCCAAGTGCAGGGAATTGGGCACTGTTAGAGTCTGATCATGGCTGTGCCACAAATGCTACATAATGGGAAGTTTGATGCTTGTGTTCCATTGAAGAAGCAGCTACATGATGCTTGCAGCGCAAGCAACGACGGTGTAATATGTTTGCAAAGCATCACTACGTTATACATTCGTTCCTGTGCAGCCGCGACGGCACACTATTTGCTCCTGGCCAACTACTGCGGAAAATCTGCCTCACAGGCTCGGCACAAATGATCTCGGAGAGCCGTTAAGTTCATACGTCAATTCTGGTTCGCGCAGTTTTCTGTATCACTCACAGGATTACGCAAAGCATCGTTGATACATGGTGAATCAGCTGACATCACCACCCTTTGCACTGCGGCAAGAAATGAGGTAGCGAACATTCAGCAGCTCCTATCGGTTGGGATAGTACGTTGGTTCGATATACATTCATTTGACGATCAAGAGTTCATCAGGCGAAAGCGGCACAGGGAGTACGTCTGCGCGTCCTATCTTTTCCTATGCGAGTTCACGGGTTGATCATCCTTCCGCAGCCATCTTGGTTTGTACGGCACGCCACCTATAGGCCGTGGGCATTGCGAATATTACTTTTATACAGGAGAACTCATACTACAAGTTTATAATTACCTCTCGTGAATAACCTATCATCCGGGTGCTTTCCTTTGCCGTGATTTTGCCCACTGTTGAAAAAAAGTGGAACTACCTTTCAAACCTATACCAACTGTGGCAACCTCTATATATTAAATGCCCAATCTTAATAGACAAGCTGTTTAACGTGGCCGTAAAACTTTGGCATGTAAAAAACTATGCTCATGTTGCATGTACAGAAACGATCATCGAGCTATCATCAATATGCATGTGCCATAGAAATTGGGCAAGTCGACCCGCCCAAATTGGGCAAATTGGGCGGGTCGTGGCTCGCCAGCATTAGCCATGGGGAGGCCGAGGAAGGTTTCCGATCCTGCCAGTCTCGGTGGGCGACGTCAACTGAAATTGTCCGTGGCGACGGAGAGTAGATCCGGCGCGGTTAGCTCGTGAAATGGCTAAGTAGTGGCGGTGAGCCAAAGGCCGCGATTTCGTACAACGAAGCAATACTATATATAGGAAACGGTGAAAGTAATGACGGCCGCGAGAAGATCCCGAAGTGATGGAAGTGATTAGCGATGCACCCGCATACCATTAAAAGGCTCAAACGCTCGGTATCAGCGTGAGTCTGTTCATGGAGCTTAGACGCCCATGTCATGTCTGTCACAGTAGGTTTCACTCGAACCTCCCCACGTTGAAAAGCAACCTAGAAGTAACCTAGAATCACCTAGCTAAAACCTAACAGTTACCTAGCTACAATCAAGAATAACTCGAAGACTTCAGAATTGACCTGCTTCGCTGTTTCAAGCAATGAACGGCTTAGTGTAAGCTCAGTATTTCTTTTTTTAGTTTCGGCGTTGGCTTTTTCGTTGTAAATTGCTCAACTTTTTTTTTCTCTCAATGTGCGAGTATACTGAGCGGTCGTGTCCATTGCTAAGCTTTCGTCTTTTTTCTATCGTTTTGTTTTCTCTTGTTTTATAGTATTAGCCTCAAAGGAAGCTTCTAAAATGCAGTAACAGTAAATGATTTTGTACCGAAAAAAATAAACCACTCGTTACCCGGAATATCTGGAAATAACTTAATTAACAGACATAACAAAATGTTAAAATCGCCGCCCTCACTACATGCGTGAAATTAAATACGTGAGCACTTTACCTTTAGTAGCAGTCTCTCGATTGCTCCAAATATAAAAGACGGCTTCTCGTGTACCACATTCTGACTTCTCCAAATGTTTCGATGTCTTGCGGTATATCTGTTTATGATAAGAGTTGTTCTAATGAATGTTTAGAGCGACTAATACATTAAATTGTTTATTAAGTATTCTTGCAGAATACATTAACTTAGTGCAGCATACGATTTATTGTAAGGCACTTCAGCATTTTTACGGGTATGAGGGAATTCATGGTGATAAAATATGTCGTTTTGGCAGTGCTTCAAAACACTTCTTTGGTGTGTTCTCAGTTTCATTTGACATCTCGCAACTGCAGGTGCTTGTTTTACCTATCATGCACGAAGTTGGCAATGTCCTTTCAGTCTGTTTAGATACATTCCGACGTCCAAGATAACTGCTTCGTGAAGGCTGCATTTATGGCACTAAAAGGGCGAGATCAAACATTCACGGCTACCTTTGCTCTAAGCTAGTGACTTAACCTTCGTTCAAACATAGTAGACATTCAAATTTCCGCTTTGTTTGTAACTCGTAGTGTTACTACTTCAGGGACAGTTATCACATTAATGCCCCTCAATTAAAGGAACAAGCACTCTTCTTTTTTTAGGTTATCTTTGTATCAAATATTCGGGCCATCGATTTCCTGTCTCGGATATTGTTTGAAGAGAAGTGCACTAGTGACATATTAGCGTTGTGTATGAGGCTTAGTAAAGCGAAGACTGTCGTACGGCATATCACCTTGATTTGACTAACATTGGGAAGTGCGAATGGGAAAAATCTTTCAACCCGATCGAATACGAATCGAATGGCGAAGACACCACATCGTCTACGAGATCGAATCGGGTACTACTCGTATGGTTCGATTAGTAGGCAGCCATTTCCAAATCATTCCTACATTGGTATTGTTAGCATTTTCGGAACAGCCCAAGAATGCCACATTTTATGTGAAACAAATATTCGCAAGCCCTAACAAAGGAATAATATTGCTTTTAACCGACAAAAATACCATAGTATGTAAACATAGGCAAGCTCGAATACAGATGCAACGAAGGCTTTAGAAATATTGTGCAAGTGACCGTACGTTTAAATAAAGAATTCACTACCGTATTCAATATGGCAGACACTGTGCTAACAAATTTAAAGTACAAATCGTGTGTATATGGAGAGTTGCTTGTTGAGCAAGTTGGTACATAGTTAGTTAACCACAAAAGAAGCCACAAAACGTTCGCAATAAAAAAAAGCGGAGCAGCAGAAACCACTTCTCGGCTCTATGTCTCTGTTTCTGCTGCTCTGCTTTTTCCGATTTTGAGCGTTTTGTGGCTGCTTTCGTAGTCATACGTATATATTCAACAATATTATTGAGTTCACAATAAAATGAATGTCATGATAAAGGCAGTGAATCGATCAGTCTTGCTTCGCTGATACTGGAACTTCAAGCAAAAACGTCTTCATCGTGTGATCAGTATAGCGCTGATAATCTCCTAAAACATTGAGCTACATGCATATTGTTAATTCGATTAATAAAACGAGAAACGTTATCTCTCTGTGTTTCATTGTTTCCATCCTTTGAGATTTTACTTTTCAGTGGTGCTTATTATTCGGAAAATATTCAGAAAATATTCAGTATTTTAGCACGATCCTTTCAATTCAAATACTGATTCGAAGAAAGCTTTACTTTACTCACTATTGTGAATTTTCACATAAGAACACATCGCTAGTATTATTTTCTTAGAAAGCGTCTTAGTTCAGAAGACATACCACGAGTAAACATAAACATCGTCACTTCATCTCATTTGCATGTGGTTCAGTGTTATGCTAGACAGATAGCAATAGCGAGACGAATATCGAATAGCGTGATGAATAGTAAGCACCGACAAGCTTTGCCAAACGACACAAAGCGGTACAGGTATTATTACCGTGCAATTATAATGCTAATACGATAAGCAACACTACTTATTGATCCGCAGATTCAATGCAAAGTGTTTAAGAATATATACATCTAAGCGTTTCTCATTGAACTGTTTGTAAGATCAGAATGTCGAAGCGACAGCATTTTCATTTACTCACATATAGACCAGAACACCAGCCACGAGCGCAAGGATTATCTCAGCAGCGCTAAGCGGAAAAGCCATAGCACCACCGTCCTTGTTCTGCGGTGCAAACGAATGTTTAGAATGAAAACACAAAAGTATCCGAGGAAATTATCTGTGTTCCTTCGTGTGCGCTTCGCTCTTCGCGACCAATGGACGTCCCTATAGAATATCCAGATGGCTGCGGTTTCTGGGGAAGTCAGATCAACGTATCAGATATTAGGTCAGTCCTGTGGTTACCCGGCGCTGTTGTTCACCCACTCTGAATGCACGATCTGGTTGAAGCGATAGGACCGAGCACAAGCATTTATGTCGCTTACGAGGCACAAACTATCTATATCGGTGCCGTGTAGGAAAATCTCCCAGGAATGTTCCGCGCCAGCTGCTCTGCGGTGGTTCGTAATCGGCCTTCAGGCTTCAACCTGCCGAGCTTGCCGTTGCATCCGGTTCATTTTAAACATAAAATATACAAAATCAACTCCAATCCACGTACAGCGATCCAGTGTTTCTATCAAACTCTTTCTTGCTCGATGCGATGCTTCTGGTGCTCTACTTTGAATTGCTAGCGCAAGATTTCTTTAGACGCCATATTGGGGAACAAAGGCGTCAGTACAGGGGGCAGGGGGAAGGCCGCCCATCGCAGTTACATAAGCGGGGAGGGGGCAGATTCAGTTGCTCACATTGACATAATAGGGAAGGGGAAATGGGCAAGCATGCTTAAATTTTGACAACCTTCCATTTATTTATTATATTGCCCAGTTTTCAAATCTCATCTTGTAATCAGCCTTTAAGAGCACAACGTGATGTAGTTATCGGAGCTCATTCTCATAGAGTCCTCATTTGATACACTTCTGAATCGCAACATAAGAACCATACTTCACGGGAAAGGGACTGCAGCACGCAACACCGAAATCAGTTTGCGCCATCGGGAAAACCTTCCTGTGCCTACGTGGGCATAGCCACCGACATTACATGGAGGCTTCACTATCGGGCTATAGCTCACAACAAAGTTATTTTCATGCAGTGTTATGCCAAAGCCATGAGCTTCCGGTGTTGTTCATCAAACCTCTCTGACCTATGGAGTTGTAAACATTCGGCAGACAGGACGCTGCCAAAACACCCGCCTTAGAGAACATAAGAACAATTTGAATGCTGATTATGTTGTTTGATTGAATTCCTGATCAATTTTCAGGATGGCGTTGGAGAATAGTTTCTAGTGTCATCATTCTGCTGCCAATACGAGCGAGAACGAAAGAGGGGAGCGTCTCAGCACTGCGTAGGGAGGTCCATCGCAAAGTACATGTCACAATATCTCCCGAGTCGGTACCGCAGACTCCTAAGGACCACGTACTTGCACGAGCGGTTGTAAACTATGATGCCGTGTATCACCTAGGAGTATACCTCTGTGCGTTGTGACGTTATGTGTGTGCTCCCTGTCTCCATCTTCACTGTTCTTTCAATTCGACTCATCCATTTCCCTTGTGCAGGGGCAGCAGAGTGGTCATGCCAAACTGATTAACATCCCCGCCTTCCCACTTACTCATTTTCTTTTCTAATTATATTTCGCACTTACCTGCCGACTGCATGGATTGTAAAAGCATACCTATTTTGATAAGGCGAGAGAGAGAGGAGGAACATAGGAAAGTTGGTGAGGTTACCTAGACTACGTTAAATTTGCTACCCTACACATTGGGAAGGTAATAAAGAAGTAAAAGAAAGAAGGAGACAGAATTCATAGCACTTCCTCAGTACAGGGTTTGACAGGTGGTCGCTGAATGATGTTGCCTTCAAGTGCTGGAGGAATGCTCATGCGGCTTTCTGGGCTGATGTGCTGTGATGCCAGGCTTGCCGTGATATTTCTCTCAATTAAAGGGCCTAGCCGATCATTGAGCCTCCTCAAGGCACACTGGGGACTTCGGTGATCTTTTTTAATTATATATAGATATATAGGGAAAGTGGTGCAAGATATGATCGATAGTCCCTACACGATTGCTGTTATCGCCCATGGAAAATTCTGGCTGGCATACCAGTGCGATAGGTGAATCAGTTGGCAAGCACTGCACAGTATTATGTATAGGCGCAGAGCATACACTGCGCGCAAAACCGGGTAAAGCCTCTTTGTTATAAGTGTTGGTAAAACTGTGCCAGCCCTCCTTCTGCGGTGCTATCGTGAAGCAAACGCAGTTTTTGGAGCGAGAGCAGTCTAGATGCTTTTTTGGGGGAGTTGCTTGGGATTACGAAGGTTTTTGAAGATATCTTTTATGTTCTGGCGGTAAAGTGATCCAATTCTTTAGTCCAAATATTGCTTTTCTAAACGGTCTTTCAAGTTCTCATCATTTTCAACGTGGTGGCGACTGCGAAGTTTGTTTGAGTTCACTACTTTTTATGTTTATTTTTATAGCTCCTCTAATATTCTAATAAATCTCTGAGCTCGTCGTGCATTCTTTTTTTGTTCTTGTTGTTTCCCTTGACTCAGCCACGATATAACATCCTTAACTCGCCCATTTGTCAACCTTGCTACCGAATAAAAAACGCTCCTACCATATTTCATCAGTTGAAGGAGCGTGATGGGGTGCGACGGAGAGGAGGGGAGAGAACTGCGTCGTTCGAACAGCCATTGCTAACTTTGATCATAAGGACGCCCTTGAGAGTGCTAGTGCACCCACTATCTCGACTGACATCAGAATACTGCTAGTAAACTTGCTATGCTTTCACCACCTACTCCTTATTGAGAGCACAGGCAGCACAAAAACTACTTTCTTGCCTGTGGTAGCTGTATTTCCTTAAACCAGTGTTTTGAGGAGTTCTGCGAGATTGTATCCGGAAGAGCTACTCCCTATCCTCACTAAACGACATTCAAAGCTGTTGCTATTGCAATCATTGCTTCACCCTTGTGAACAAGAAGCACTGTGATATTTTTAATCATATGAGCCACGTACTACCAACTTCAACTTAAGAGCACGTTAATGTAGAAAAACTTGAATTCGTCCTTGTTCTTGTAGGTTTAGTTGCATTTGGAAATGCAACTCGCTCTGTTCCGTCCAAATTGCTTGATAAGGAGGTGTTGAGATGTACATACCCTCTGCTACTCCACTACTACAGGCATGGCCGCTGTATAAAAACACATGGTGTGGCCTTTCGTGTGTATCGAATACTACGTCGCGCGCCTAGTGCTCCGGGTAGCCACCATGGCGCCACCAGTGGGGCAGACCGAAAGCGAGAACGCCAGATTTATTGCAGTGGATCATGGCTACACAGGGTGACTGCTTACAATAAATTAGCTATAGGGTTAACCATGTCGGCAAGTGTTCTTCACGAATGCACATCGGCGAAGGTTGTACCTAACTATAGCATGTGTTCGTTTAATGTTGAGCTGTTCCTCAGCCAAGTTGTTATTTTTCGCGTCTTGTTGTCTTGTGTTGCCCTTGCGTTGTTCACCCCCGAACATGTTCGTTTTCTCAGCTATGCAAATATTTGAAACTTTGGAATAATGAATTAAATAGCCTTCTGTTGGATTCGGTATTCTCAATATAGGCAACTTAATTTGGAACTTGAATAATTCAAAATAGCGAATAATTTTCAAATACTGAGTATCGCCCAGAAATTATAAGAGAAGGAAACGTTCAAACAATAAAGGGTTATCACTCTCTGTTTTCGTGTTATGAATGGAGAGACAACGGCTGTCCTCAGCAATGTAATCTTCGCACTCGTGTAAGTGAAGTTGTTGTGTCAGGGAAAATTGGCCTTGCCAGTACAGTATTCAGTGCTGATGCATGGTTAGCCGCTTTTTGTGGGAAGGCACACGTTGTGGTAAATGTTTTCGCTGTTTTATTGCACACTTTGATATCTTTCATGCTCGGTTCAACGTCGTTCATTTTTATGCGTCACTTTTATTTAAAAGTAAACAAAGCAGCACAATACGGTAGTAACTCTTGTGCTTCAACCTACCGTTACAAACTAGTTCGCCAGATCTAGCTACATCACGCGAGCTTAGCTGAGCTTTAACAATTTTGGTATATTTGTTGCTTAAGGGTATCCGTGGTGTTTCTTTGATGAAGTCGCGAATATTTATTTTAAGAATAACACAATAGCGGGGGTTTCTCGTTGGAAAACCACGATATGAGTATGGAAGATACCATACTGCACGCACCACGAATCGCATTCCATTTGATGCTCTTTAAAGCGCAGGGATATTACGTATTGTACACGGGCCTCAAACATTTCTTCTCCGCCGAAATGAGACTTGCGGGGCCGGGATCTATCCCACGACCTTCATGCCAGTGACCGAGTACCGTAACTATTGAGCGAGTGTGTTGGCCAATGTTTCATTTGATGTTCTGTGGAAAAAAATCATCATCCTAGCACTCCGTACAAATGATTGAAATGCGAAAGCTGCAACGTGCGGCCCCGATATTTAGTAGTGGACTCAACCTGACGTTGCACTGAAGTGTTTCACAGTTATTGGTTACATGCTCGTGCTTCTTAATTAGGTTTGACACACGTTTGACATTAGTTTACCGCAGTGTTTATTTCACATACCGCACAATTGCGCCTCGCATGATCATGATCATGAAGGAGTGTAAGGAGCAGCAGTAAATGAGTCCCGAAACGCGTTAATCACAGCGGTCGTTCTCCTAACCACAAGCGGTTGCCGATGTCGCAGCTGGAGCCCAAGTGGCGCTTGAGAAACTGCCACCGAAAGCGGGCGTTCGTCCCAGCAAACGCGCTCCCGCAGTCATCAGGTTGACGCTGCTGTGGCCGCAACGCCGCTTCTCGGTACGTGTTGTTGCAACCGTTTGACATCGCGAGCTAACTGCGTGGCGGGATCCGCCGCCACCGGCACTTACATTCCCATTCGCTATTTAGAGCAGCTTCGGAGGCTGCTGAATAATTGGTATGCAGTTGATGCCGGCACTCAGCCTCCCAGGCCTGTTTTTGTGCTCGGAGTGCACCATCGGCCTGGCGAAAGCGAGCTCTTTCACATTTCCAGTGTTGGCGTTCGTCTGAAGTTATCCGTGGCCTCTCCATGTGGAAGCTCTCAGTGTATACTGATGCGTGCGTGCTCGGCGACACGGCCATGACGGCTTGAACGCCGTCACGCACAACGCAGCCAAGGGCGTGCGTGCTTGGGTACGACGGTGCGAACGACGTAACTTATAGCCCAGCCAATAGAGACCCACTTGTGGCACCGATGCCAAACATCTTTTTCTTTGTTTCTTCTAGCTATCTACGTCCCTCTGTGTAAACATTTGGCTCTAATAAAATGGTTGCCTTGCTCTCCGAAAACTATTGGAGTAGTACTAGAGTTGTATTTGTTTCTGATTCGCTTTTATTGCTATTCGATTTGCATTCGGTTCGGCTCAAAAATTTGGTATGACAGCACGTATTCTGAAGATCTTTTCTTTATTCGATGAGCATGCATCTAAGAAAAACGGCTTGCTTGCTTACACATCTAGCTATTTTATTATTCGGTTGAAGAAACTGGTACCTTATAAGCATGAACGAGCATTGCAGCTAGTTCTATATCAGGTCACACCTCAGACCACCTACTCAAGAATTCTAGTTCACCAGCCAGCTATTTCGCACGAAGCAAATGACCAGGCAGAATTTGAGCAGATGCGTTTACCTCTAAACAGACAGGGGCTATCCCAGTTTTTGCCGATTGCAGTATTCCAACCTAATAGAATGTTCCTCAAACAGTGGCGCACAGCACTCGTGCGGCACTTACCCTAACGGCCTAATGCATAAAATAACACACGCGCAAAAAAACTGTCTTGAGTAACACTATGAGCTAACGACACATCTGGAGAAAAACATCCCCAAGCTGGACCTATCCGCTCCATTTGAACACTCGCTCCCTCCAGCCAGTGCGACGTGTGAAGCTTTCTCACACTGCTAGCGCACTCCTAGCGAAATGCACATGTGATCTCCGCTTGTACACTCTCGCCCGTCGCCCGCGCGGCGACATGGCAGGCCGCGCCGTGTAATATCCTCGGAATGTAACATGGTGCCGCCACCGGTGGATATTATGCGCGATCCCTCTCTTGAGCACTGGGAGGCCATGTTGACCAGCTCAGACCCAGTCGCCCAAGCGAGGGTCGTGGAGACGGAATCGTCCGCAGTTGCTTTCTCACAAAAAAAAGGTTTACCGTCCATATCGTCGAGCGGCCGTGCTAGACGTTACGTAGCGCATACCATCATAAAGATCAACAAGTGAAAGACAAACCTCGAGCGAACACAAACAAACAAAGAAACACGACAATTGACAGTTCACTCGTAGGTGTTCACTTTGCCGATGAACGTTTCCGTGAGAGAACTTTTCTAAGTTCTAGCCGAAGTATACGGAATAACACTTTCCTTCGTGTGTAGCCACACAGATGCTCATAACAAGCGGTTATCCCAACCGTTTTGCCCCATGAAGTTTTTTAGAAGCTCTACCATGGTCTAATTAATTTTTGTAACTTCAGAGGATGCTTGTCGAAACTTGCTATCATTTCTGTAGCAACCAAACTGAGCCGCCTAAACGTACCTTCAGAACTATAGTTGCTGTAAGCGTGAACACTATATAGCGTTCGATGAACACATGTGACCACAAGTGAGTATTATCACATCCTTCATGTAACGCCCAAATGGAAAAGTTTTATTGTACATGTAACATGTGCAAAACAAAGAAAACAAAAAATCAAGTGAAAACACTGTAAACATTTTACAGATAAACAATAAACACTCATTTACCTCTGTATATACACAAGCATACAAAGTAAAGAAAAGTGGACCAATTGTTTTACAAATCGCTCTCAATGAGAAATTTTTTATATACTGAAGTGAAGCAAAAACCGGCCCGTACTCATGTTACGCATTGACAATAGCACTCTTTTAGACATTACAAAGGCTTACGATGAATCTTCTGTAATTCTGCATTTTCGCAAAGCTGGATAAAGAAACTAAAAGCATAGACACACCAAACACATCGTATAGTTTCTTCAATATCGGAAAAGCGGTTTCTCTATGTCTCAAATATCAGTCGCATGAAACCTTCTTCTCACTTTCGCATCACTTGTCGCTGGCGCTCTGCGCCAGTATTTTGCGTACACCAACCGTAAAATCTTCGGCAGTCAACACTCCGATTCCAAGCTTAATCTTCACTGGAACCTGCAAATGGGGCAAAAGACGGTTTTCAACCTGTTATTTTTACGAGCCTTGTATCTAAGGGCCATTCTTCTCACATAAACATTCTTACGCCAAACATGCTCTGACCACTGCTCTGTTGAGATAAAGCTGTGGGACCGCAGTTACGGTGTTATATTCATCCACATCATTTTCTCGGGGACGTGCTTAAGCGTCTACAAATGAAATCAATTCTACTTCATTTTGAGAGCGGGAGGCCATGCGTACAGCATAATCAGTGTTTTCGGCTGCACTTTCAGACTAAGTGCTTCTATTTTTCATTCACCTAGCTCTGCCACATGGTTTAATATTGTGCTGACGTGATGAAGGCAAGTGAGGAAGAGGACATGCAAGCATGATACGAGATATTGTCGCAGTCAGGCAGCTCTCTTTGTGTCCGTCCGTCCGTCTGTGCTCAGCACGTGCGCTTCTCTGTGCGTGAGCGTCTGTGTGTATGAGGGGGGGGGATGAATAGTCGTTAGCGATGTGGTTGCTTTAATAGCACTGCATTTCATACCAAATTCGCGACCTGATAAGTATGAGTTTGTATAGTATCGCAGGCGGCAACCTTTCAGTGCCTCAAGTTCAAGCAAACACTAACTAGAGGTAGAAGCTTATGAAAGAAGACTGTTGCTGTTAGAACTCTTGTCGACTATACAGTCTCCACCACTAGAATTAGGCTTGTCTACACTCTATTTCTAATTCCATTAAAACTGCAGTTGTATTTCTCAAGTCCAATATGACAGCTCAATCAATGCTCGGTTATGGGCAGTTGTGAAAATTATTCATGCTCTAGGGGCAGATCCCAGAGTAGCTAACGTTTACGTTCACCTAAACATTCATTTTTATGACTTTGTATTAAGCACATTGGAGCTCCAGCAATGAACATGACTAAAACGCTCCCTGTTGAAATCTAACTTAATTTTCAGAGGTTTTATTGTCAATGTCTACCCTTTTCAATAACCAGCGTGTCTTTCTTTTTTCTTTTTTTTTCTCTTTTGATATGCTGTCTGTCAAATATTATGCTGGTAAAAAAAATGAACTGCTACAGCCTCACATGCGTAAGTTGTGACTAGACCTAACGTTGTGAAGTTAGTCTCTACTCCTAGCTTGCATTGTTGAAATTATTGTCCAAGCGCTTTATTAAGCTAGTGTCTAGCATACGATCTATGAAAACTGCGCTTGTCCCTGCAGATCCTCCGCCGCTGTATTTGCTTACTGCGAGAGTCTTGCAAGAAAGAGATTAGTGGGTACCTTGTCAAAGCGAGCTATTAAACAGTTTCGTACCTTTGTCTTCTCAGTGCGCACAAACTGGACGTTATGGAGGGAGTGAATCAAACACAGCTTCACAGACTGCAGTGCCAGGCGCATCCCGATGCAGTTCCTAGGCCCAGCTCCGAAAGGAAGGTACGTGTACGGTTTTATCGACTCCACGTTCTCGTCACTGAATCTGACGAATAGAAAAACAATGATATCACGGCAAAATACGCTTTCGACAATACTTCTTTCAGCAGGTGCGCATACTTTCACAGCAAAGGACCCACTTTCACAGCTACCTCAAGGGAACTTTTTGCTGGGCGAGTCAGAGTACGGTTATAATTGATTTCAAGGTGCGAAAAAAAAGCTATTCCTAAAGAGGACGCTGGACAGAACGTTACTAAAATCAGCTTTTTATATCAACGCAGCTATCTTTTTGGAAGTGCTCTCTACAAAGCCACGCCAGAATATGCAAGATTTCCTCATCTACATTTATGACTCACGATCAGTGGCTGATGGTCAAGGATTCGAAGGGTTCAAATGGCACTCCGGTTTTAGGGGGGGGGGGGGGGGGCATGGACCACAAAAAGTCACCAACTTTGTTGTTTTGTTCGAAAAAGTTTAACCCTCCTGCTAGATTCTCCTGACATAAACAAATTATATACTTGAAGAATGAATGTAGATGCTTTTAAGAGGTCGTTCGCTGCATAACGTGCATAATCTTAATTGAAGTCAGCTCACAGTTCTGCAGTCTGTGATAAAAATGCTTTATTAGCCCAACACCTTGCATCGTATAGAGGGAAGAAGCTGGTCCAGCGGATGTACAGATAGAGCAGCCTGACGCGAATTTTAGCAGCTATGCTGCAGCAGGCAATGCAAGGCGCATAGACAGTGGTTCCTGTTTGAAATATCATTTAATGCGCTGAACGAAAATAATTCGCATGAAGCTGGCGCATTATTATGCTATAGTGCGCTTTCATCATAGTGCAAGCAACCCACGATGAAATGTTTGTATGGTATGAAACTTTCTGATTGTGCAAGAACTCCGCCGGAGTAAAGGTTTGATTCTTCGCTTCTAACGTTGCCGTTCTGTCTTAATTCCTACTTGAAATTTTTCTCAACACAATCTCATCAAGTGTGAGGCCCACGGAACGACTTCGTGATATCCCATAGTATAGTACGAAGTAATCTAAATCATCGACCGCTTTTTCTAAACACACTTGATGGTTATATAAGTAGCGTACACTTACCAGAGGAAGCTGCGTTTATCGCATTGCCCCGTTTCAAACTCGTTCTTATTGGCCATTAGGGGACACAGAAAATCATTTATCCACTATCTGGCCACCAGCAGACCCTAACTGCAATCTTTTGAGAGTTGCAGTGGCGGTCATCAACCGACCATCACTTTTTACGCCATGTCCAGCATAGTACAGGCAAATACGGGCCTCTCAGGTAAACATGATGTTTTTCCGAGCCGATCGGATGTTCAAAGCTTGTTGAGATCACACAACACCGCTGACGCGCTCAACGATGCACGAGGCAGCATGGCTCTAATGACGCATTTTTCGGTTTACAAATATTTGTGTGTGCACACTGTTAATGTCTCGCACAGTTTAGCCTTCTTTCAGTATATGATCCAATGAACTAGACAAATCTTAATGCTGTCCGTATGTCTCCGTCTACTGATATAGTTAATTATTACGATGATAATTTTTCCACGAGCTCCGCAAGAAAGAAAACGCCCAGGTGATAATAAACACTTCGCAGAGGCTTAGAATAAATAAGGATTGTGTTCTTTTCAGCGTCAAGTATAAAGCATCACCGCATGACGAAGTGGGAAAGAAGGGGGTGAGGCGACAGGCCCTCCTTTGATTTTGAATCAAGCCCTCCCCTCTGTTTCTCCGGCTTTGATGACGACGTCGGGTAGTACATCAAATTAACATGTTCAAAAGAAATCGCACATATTTTAGCAAGTCGCAAATCAAATCCCATTAATAGAAGAGAAAAGGAGGACGAAGAGAAAGACTGAAGGACATGGAGGTTGGCCTGTACTCATGATGAGCTGGCTACCTTGTTCTGAGAAAGGCATAGTGGGAGATGGGTGGGGATTAAAAGATTATAGATAAGAGGTTTACCAATAAAAAGAAAGGAAGATGGGAAAAAAATGAAAATAATGGGATGAATAACACTGCGTAGAGTTATGTTCTGCACCAAACTCTCTGGCAGAAATAAAAGAGCATAATTAAAACATCATTTTCATTAATCTCGGGTCCCGTCTTCAGCTGATAAGGGAGTGTTTTCAACGATGGGCAGCTCCTATATAGTTTTACTAGCCCCCTCTACCCCTCCTCTCTTTGCGTTCGCCAAAAAAGCACTTGCGATGTCAACAGCATTCTTATTGCTTTGCTACATTAAGTGAAAGTGGGAACACGCTATTTCAGGAAGACATGACTCTATCTGCACCTTCCATACTCTAGAACTCATGGAGAGAGACTTGACGGCGTTCAGACATTGAAAAGCTACCGTAGCAAAACTGTTATAGCTGTTTTATGTTAGAGAAGAAAAAAAACTAGATAAGGTTGTCTGCTGCACCCGGCACTTACCTCTCCGGCAAGAAATTTTCCGGGTCCGGAAATACTGCGGGGTCGCGGTGCATGGCATATATAGGAACGATGACGGAGCTGTTTTTGGGAACCCTGATGCCGGTTTCACCAAGAACGTAGTCGTTGATCGCGTAGCGTTCCAGCCTATAGGAGTGAGCCGAACAACGCAATTAAAGAGCATCAAGGTTGCTGCTGTTTTTTTTAAGTAGCCTTGATTCATCATTGCGAACCACATTCGACAAGACGCAAAAAAAAAAAACAGCCGGCAAATGTGTACTTATATAGATAAAAAGAGTGTTTGTAATAGGTTCTTGTTTAAGAACTATGATGATGTGAATATATATTTCAACTTATTTTCAGATTTTTTACTTGAATAGAAATTTTTTTTAATCCACAGAAATTTTCAAGCAAGTTTTCTTCATTGAATAGCGAAGAGATTGCAAGTGTCAATTGCTTAGGTGTCTCGGCTAGCGATGTTTATGAGCTTGCACTAAAAGAAAAAGAAAATAGATTCTATTCTTTTCAATGAGTCTTGACTTTCAACTGGTGCGACTCTTTAAAAGTACTTGTTAAACACTCTTTTGTGTCCTACGACTCTCCAAAAACAGAATAACCACTTCAAGGAGGTTTAAAGTTACTCCTTAAATAGAGTCATATATACTTCGCAGTCTCTACAAAAAGAGAGCAACCTATTTCAAGGAGATTTACAGTTACTCCTTGAATAGAGTCATGTATACTTCGCAGGTCTCGACTCGCTATAAAACGTTTAGGTACTCTTTTTTTTTCCTTTTAGAATGTACGTGACTAATGACAATCTTTATTGTGAAGTATGAAAAACAAATCCTCGGCCCGCACCATAAACACATAGTACGATGTGAGTAATGACAGTACGACGACAGATTGCTGCCATTTGCTTAGCTGCAGCTACCCTGCAAGTCAACCTTGTAGCAGTAGGAACATTATTATGAATCACTCGGAGCGAGCTGTTTCATTTTACATATGATTATGATAAACACTTACCTCACAGCGGGCGGATAAAGGCGCAGTGTCTCGGACACTACGCAGTGCAGGTACTTTAACTTTGATATGACATCTAGACTCGGTTCAGGACCCTGAAAAATATGGTAGTGATGTTTTTCAACACTACTTCATGTAAATTACGGGCTTCATTCTAAAGCTGTACTACAAATTCAGTATTGCTCTGCAATTATTTGCAAGTGAAATATTTTCTCAACATTACTTGCATTGTAACTAGTATTACATCGTAACTATAGTTGCATTGTAACTAGTATTCGACGAAGTTAAATTTTGAATGTTTTTTCTACAATATTTTACGATTTCCCCAATATTTTTTTTAATTTCGTGAGTCTTTTGTGTGCTCCTGAAGATTTTTGTCTTCAGCATTTTGATTCACGAATTATAACACTTATGGTCTCGGCATCGTTGCAAAAGAAAAATTGCTTTCAAACTTTCCTATTTCAAATGTGCTTTGTCATGTACGCGAATATAGTTCATGTAAGTGGAATTGCAGAGCGAAAAGTGAAGCCAGATTGCGGTGATACACCCTATTTCCAGCCCGTTCTAATTGTGGGACCATTATTACAGTAGATGACTCCTTTTTGTGCTAGTTGTTTCATTGTATTGCTGGGGATGTCACAGCGCGAACACACACTGACAAGACATAAGAGAGACAGAAGAGCTTTTAGAGAACGGGGATTCTTGGTAGGATTGATGACAAGACTGAACGTATCATTTTAGAAACGTTCGTATTGGAAACTTCATACCAAGTGCATTAATGCCCCATGTCTTGCCCTCTTTGATGCCGAGTTTTATTGGCCGGATGCAGCTGTCGGGTCTAATAAATGAAATAAAAATAAAAAGTCACGTGTTATTTGCGATTATTTCTTGACAGGTCTCCTGCGTCGTTGGCACTGTGGACTCCTCTTTTTTCATGCTTCACTATGGCATACGAAATGTGTTTCATTCTGCCGCCAAAGATAAGTTGTGTGTCAGCGCCAGTGTGACCACCCCTTCTGTCTTGGGGGAAGGGGGGGGGGGGTTGTTCACGCTCTTACTACCCAGCCTTTTCAAACTAGACCGGCTTCTTCACATATAACTCACTTGTTCTGGGAGAATCATTGTTGAGCACGCGAAGGCCATCCCAATGAAAGGGAAGCGCCGAAAAATGACAAAGGTTTTTAATGTACCCCTTAAATAAAATGTTACTTCGGTTCCATCATTAAAATAATGTTACCAGCACATTACGTGCCATAAAGTGTGGTTTCTAGCTTGCGAAATAAAAGAATTGATCCACAACAACACGTGGCCAGGATATCACTCTCTCAACACTCTGTTTTTTTTTTGTTGTTGTTGTGAGCAAAATAGCCATTTCGGATAGCTATTTTGTTTGTTTCGCGTCGGTGCGCAAACCGTTGGTGCACATAATTTGTGTCTTGCGTGAGCTGCCTTATTGCTCTGAGGCCCGCCGCAGTGGTCTAGTGGCTAAGGTATACTCGGCTGTTCACCCGCAGGTCACGGGATGGAATCCCGGCTGCGGTGGCTGCATTTTTGACTGAGGCGAAAATTCTGCAGGCCCATGTGCTTAGATTTAAATGCGCCTAAAAGAACCTCAGCTGGTCGGAATTTCCGGATCCCTCCGCTACGACGTCTCTTGTAATCGTATGGTGGTTTTGGGACGTTAAATTTCACATATCAATCATCAACCTTACTGCTCTCAATTTTGGTTCTCTGTTTTCTTTCACGTTCAGCTTGCAATGAAATCCTAGAGCATTGACGTAGCAATAGCCATTCTCTCAGCTACTCAATAAACTTGGAAGTAGGCTCGTAGACGTCAAGTCACTGGGAAAGTCGACGGAACCATATCGGGAGTAAATCTGTGAGTTACCGCATTTCTTTCTTGTGGTGATTATATTTTGTTCGCCCCAGCACCCAAACAACTTACATGAGCTGCCATGCATTCGTCTACTTCTTTCCTCAGCTTCTCCTGCACTTTGGGGTTTAAGGCGAGGTGATAAGTCGCGAATGCAAGGGTCGAAGAAGTCGTCTCCAGACCAGCCAGAAAGAAGAGCACGCACTGAGCCATCGCTTCTATTTCAGTGAGACCTGAAAGCGAAAGTGAGTTCCGAGCATGTAACTCCTATATAATGTGAATTCGTAACGTACGCCTTAAAACATATGCGAACAAGCCTCATCACACACTCGCGAAATCATTAGGGTTCCAAGAACTTCCAAATGTGTGATCTTTATCTCGAAAAGGTTTCTCGCACACATTGAAATATACTGTATTATGGAAATAATGGCCTACTTTAAATTAATCAGTGTCAGTCGATTTGTGGTTCACGATTAGTTGAAGTAACCGCAAGAGCACTCACAAACAGAAAGAAAGATCGCTTCCTGCAACTGCATGTCGCTTTTTGAGTGCCATGTGCTCCCAAGATTACCTCTGCTAATCGCATTTTAAAGTTGTGGAATTTTGCGTGCCACATTCGCAGTGCCATTAAGAGCAAGACTGGTGTAATGTGTATTTATTTTAATCACCACAAGAAGTTCGACTTAATAATAATAAAAACTGGAGATTGCATTTTATACGAAATCAAAATTGAAGTAAACACGTCGGGTTCACATGCACAATATTATTAAACTGCCTTACAAAATCTGTTCCCACGAATTTTAATTTTTTTTTGTATTTACAGAGTTCCTGCAACGCCGTAGTGGCATTACTGCAGGGGGGTATACATACAAAGTCTAATATAGTTGCTAACGTTTCTGCAATAGTACACCTTAAACATTTTGAAAAATGAAACAACATATATAATTACAGCACGCCATCAAAAGTATTTTAGTACAATAGGACACGTGGCAAACAGATACTGAAAGTGTATGGGCATGTCACAATGTCACAACGATGAAAAAGGAAGTGCTGTTGTCCCAAAATTTACGATATCTTCTGCAAGTTCATCACACTCTCTGATTGTTTTAAAAAGAAGGTGTTGGCGACTCGTATTTTATGTGTGTGTTAAAATTTTGCGGAATGATATGTTGGTGACCTCGCGCGATATCCATGACCTCACGCACAGCTGCTCAAAACTAAGCTGCAGCCAGCAATGTACCTCGTTTAAAACTTCAGCGCACATGTCACGACGGAAATTCAGTACATTCACATCCATGTCATGCAAATATTTTTGAAAGCGCAAGTCACCGTGAACATGCGGAACGTTCGCTTTCGAAGATTTTTTTAGTGTGAAGCATTTCTTAGCGAACTTCGGTGACTTTGAGCGTATCTATCTATCTATCTATCTATCTATCTATCTATCTATCTATCTATCTATCTATCTATCTATCTATCTATCTATCTATCTAGCCACCTACGACCTTTAGCTCTCCTGGCTGTTTCGATAATGCTTTCAATACCAAACTTGGTATGGCATAACATGACTATATGGAGAACATATTTGACTAGTCATAACATGGAAATCATGAAACATTTGTCACGAAAGTCATGATTTACATTTCATGGTCCTGCAGCTCTTGCGGTGGTTTCGTTCACATGACATGTTGCAAAACTGGAATGGTATAACACGATTGCACGGCGAACACAAGCGACAGACCCTAACATGAAAAGCATGACATGCGTGTCATGTAACAGCATGACTACATGCCACGATTATGATGCGCTCGCGGCCGTTTCGCTAGCGTCACAAATACCTAATTTGGTATTACTGTACGTGAATAGATGACGAGGGTATGTGAATGGTGCGAATTACCGGACGCGAATGGATGACGAAGGTATAAGACTGATAGAAACATGATAAGTATGAGAAGCGTGTCATGTAGCAACATGACTACACGCTATGCTCATGATGCGCTCGCAGCCGTTTCACTAGCTTCCCATGTACCAAACTCGGTATTAGGTGACACGAATGGACGACACATGCAAACATGATAATCACGACATGCGTGTCATGTAACAAAATGACTACATGCCACATTCAAGATGCGCTCGCAGCCGTTTCGCTGGCTTCACATACGCCAAATTTGGTATTACGTGACGCCAAAGGATTACCAAGGTATGTGACTCGTTCAAACATAATAATTATGAGATGTGTGTCATGTTAGACCATGACTGCATGCGACAGTCAAGGCGCCAATACATTTTGACATGACGTGGTGCGCGTGCTCACCGGCGTCCATTTCCTCGCTTCAAGCCGGCGTTGCCACGCCAGGCGCCGGTCCTGCCAAATACTCGCACGCGCACCGCACTACGTTGCTTTGACGCATGCGTGTTTCAGCGCGTACGACGCCCCTCCGTCACGAAATCAAGGAATCGCAGTGTTGTCTGGTTAATGCATCGGCATAGAGAAATGCAACATCTCCTTTATTAAGATGCCTGATGAATGGCTCGTGTGTCCAGTGCAGTCGCCCTGCCTTCAGCTTTGAGCAAACGCTGCGCAGTGGCGCTTGTGACCGACACTATTAACACGGCGTTTTAAAGACGATAGTCTTTCTTGGGGACCTTCGACCGCAAAAACTTCGGTCTGTCTGTCTGTCTGTCTGTCTGTCTGTCTGTCTGTCTGTCTGTCTGTCTGTCTGTCTGTCTGTCTGTCTGTTCGTTCGTTCGTCCGTCCGTCCGTCCGTCCGTCTGTCTGTCTGTCTGTCTGTCTGAACACTTGTCTGTTTGTCCACGGTTACCGCGAACTAGTTACACTAAACAGCACCATCCGATGCCCCAAACGGCCGACCCCATTCGCAGCGCCCAACAATGTTGCTCAACAACCAGCGTTCATGCGTGTGCGATCGTCAAGAAAGAGCAATTATTGCGCATATCGGAGGCACCATAACAACATGTATATTGTTCCGGCTGCTGGACGGCGTCTTGGGCATCAAGTGGATCGTGAGACGTTGTACCGAGTAACTCCACCAGTCTTGTCACGTTACTCACGACAACTTGATATAATGGGCTCGTTGAGTCGACTAGCCAAGCAGCGGCTCAGAGAGATCGTCTTTTTCCTCTTTCACTCTTCGATCTCAGCCGCATGGTTTACTTGGCTAAGATCGAAGAGTGAAAGAGGAAAAAGACGATTTTTCTGAGCCGCTGCTTGGCTAGTCGACTCAACGAGCCCATTATATCAAGTTGTCGTGAGTAACGTGACAAGACTGGTGGAGTTACTGGGTACAACGTCTCACGATCCACCCGATGCCCAAGACCCCGTCCAGCAGCCGGAACACAAGCCCTGCACCCGTGGACACTCCTGTTCATCGAGTAAGCCGCCGCCAACGAGGCCTACCGCCTGAGACACCAACCACTGACGCAGCGACTATGACTTCGACACAAGATCCCGTGCAAGCTCCGACACCTTCCACGCCAATCGACTGCACCGTCCAGAACCCGCTCATGCCTAGCCCCTTCCACGGAGAGCAACATGAAAATGTTGACGACTGGCTGAGTGAGTTCGAACGTGTCGCAGTGATCAATTACTGGGATGATGCCGCGAAGCTCCGGAACGTGTACACTTGCTTAAAAGACGGTGCCAAGACGTGGTTTTTGAACAAGGATGATGTTCTGACATGTTGGCGCGAGTTCCAGCGTCGCCTCCTGGTGACCTACAGGAGTCCTGACCGCCGCGAACGGGCGGAGCGTGCACTACAATCACGCATCCAGATGTCCAACGAGACTGTCTCAATGTACGTCGAGGACATGACACGGCTTTTTAAGCGAGCGGATCCTGCTATGGCAGAATAAAAAAAGTTGCGCCACCTCATGCGTGGTGTGAAGAAACAACTTTTTGCTGGTTTGGTGCGTAGTCCCCCCAAAAGTGTTGCTGAGTTCCTTACGGAAGCGGCAACAAGGGAGCGAGTACTGCACCAACGGTCTGCCCTGTTTGACCGTCAAGTGAATACTGCCTCAACTCCCGAGATTTTCGCCACCCCTGGAAGCAAGAGGCCCGAATGGATTCGCGAGATCATCCGATCTGTCGTCCGGGAAGAAATTGAAAAGATGTACGGTACAAGGCAAATCGATGTTGGTTCTATCACCAGTGTCATCCGTGACGAGGTCCAGCAGGTGCTGCACGCCCATCGTTTTCCGCCCACGTCGGTTGATCCGGAAACGGCTCCTGTGTCTACTGACAGTCGCCGTCGTACGTACGCGGAAGCCTTGCGATCTGCCACTCCTCTTTCTGGTCAAGTAGTCCCGACCCAGCCAGGGCCGCACGTCCCGATCCAGACAGTGCCGCACGTCCCGATCCAGACATTGCCGTACGTCCCGATCCAGACAATGATGCCGTCAGTCACGATTCAGTCAGCGCAGGCTGATTTGGAGATCGATAGTCGCCGTGCACCGACGCGCAAGTCTGATCTCTGGCGTACGCCAGACAGACGACCCCTCTGCTATCATTGCGGTGAGGCTGGTCACATTTACCGCGAATGCCTATACCGGCAACTTGGACTGCGGGATTTTCCGTCAATTCCCCTCGTCCCCGAATTGGTCAAAGGCCAAGGGATATCGAAGAGTATCTCGCACAACAGCGTGCACCCTTTACACGACGGCAATCGCGGTCACCATCTCCGAGGAGACCCGCAGCCACTGGGCCACGTTTCGGGTGACGGCACGGGAATGCTCCCCGAGCCCTCGTCGGGAAAACTGAAGGCAGCGGCCTTCGGGGGCAAGGTCGCTGGGACTCAAAGTGCGGAAGACCTCCCATCGACGCTTGCACGCAACGCCGAAGGCATTTCGTCAGAGAATCGCAGTACCGAAGAAACACCGACATCCACATCTGAACCTAGTGACCGCGTGTCACTCGACATACCTGTGCTGAATGACGGTCTTCAGGTCAGTGCATTGGTAGACACTCGTGCAGACTATTCGATCATCAGCGGGAGGCTAGCGAAATATCTCAGGAAAGTGATCACGCCGTGGAATGGAACGCGAATTCGAACAGCTGGAGGACACGTTGTAACACCGCTGGGTCGCTGTACCACAAGAGTGAAAATTCGTGCGTCAACGTTTCTGCTCAGCTGCCTCGTTCTTCGCGACTGTTCGCGTCAGCTGATTATCGGCATGGACTTCCTTCGGTAATACGGTGCCATCATTAATCTCCGTGAGC